AAACAATCTCAACAGAAATTCAGAAGCTGTGAAGTGGAGTACTGACGTTGCTTCCTCTGGTTCTATACACCAGGATTCCTGTGCTTCCTCTCCTCCCATGCACTGCAGTGGAGCTGTTGGGCTGGGCAGACACGGGGCTGGAGCTGGCTGCGTGTCAGGGGGGTGTGTGGTGCCAGCAAAGGGTTTCAGCAATGGAACAATCAGGGTTGCTTCAAAAGAGTACTGGGCATAGCATTTCCATTCTTCTTCGTCACCCTTGTTGTATCTCACCATAACCCCCAAAGGGGAAAGGCGGTGAATCTTCACTCCTTTCCTCTTCTCTCCATCTGGTGCCTGAGGCAGATCCTCAGAGGTGCCATTTGCATCCTGTGTTTCTGACTCTCCTCTTCCTTTTCACACTTGGCTCCTGTATGAGCATTTAGCTTTTTAAAGGAAGCAGTTTTTACCTCCTTCCCTCTTCTCACGTCATCTATAATTTTATAATCTTCTTTGGCGTGTTGCTCACTGCCAATCTGAGGTACCTTCCCCATCCTGCACATCTCTCCCACGCTCCTCAGCAGTGGCATGCAGAGACCACATCCTGTTCCATCAGAGAGACCATGCAATTCTAATCTCTGTCACACAGCTAAGCCACCCCCTCTGGTAACTCAGGGACAGCTTTATTTTCCAGCAGCGTCTCAGTTGCATCCCCCAATCTCACACTCCCCTCCATGTGAGAAAGGGATTTTCCATTTAAAAGTGGAGCACCAGGAACAGTGAAAAAATCTCCCCCCAGCAGTTCTGCAGTGCAGATTCCTTTGCCTTTTTCCCTCCCCACTTCGTCATTAACTCTGTCTTTGGTTGTCCCCACAAAAGGGCCAAAGTCTCTCTGTTTTGATCTCCCTGTGCTGTCCTAGCCTTCAAATTTCCTTTGCTGTATCCCTCAGCCCTGCCTTGTTCCCCCTAACAGTGTCTTGGGCCTCTACTTGATCCTTTTAATCCCTGAAGACCAGCTCAGGTATCTCTCCTTCTCTGTTTTTAATCTGTTCTGTGAGCACTTGTCCCAGAAGATTAACACATATGGGCTTTTCTAGACTTTCCCAGCAAGTAAATACAAATAAACTGCCATGTCCTTCAAAATCCACAGACCTGGGCTCTGTTTTGTGGTGGATTATGCAACTGGGCACATTGGAGATGATGCACAAGGCACTTCCTGGCAGGACTGGTTGGAAACCTGCTGAGGGTCTTTGTTTTTCATGTCATTACACTGAGAAGTTTCAGGCAGGATGACAGATGATGCACTTTTCTCCTTCCACTCACTCCTGACAAGTAATAGCACAAGGAGCAAAGGCATTTTCCTTGTTCTGCTCTTCCACTGCAGCCCAGATTGCTGTCACAGCAGCTTCCTCTCATAAGGAGTCAGCCCATTTTCAACAAACTTGCCAATAATCATCACACCAGACAATAATCAGGGCTCATTTCAGAATCTGCAATGGAAGGACAAGTTAGTCAGAAGGGCCCCTTTTCCCTGGTGGAGAAGAGCCAACATCCACCCACCCTGAGGAGCACTGGGCAGGAGGCAAACACTCTGTTGCTTTTTTGTTTGGTTCTGTCGTACAAAGCAGCTATTAAAAATGTTTAAAGATGTGGATGAGATGGCCTAGCACAGTTTCACTCAGGCAGGATGCCAGGGCATATTATGTAAAATGCTGATCTTTCCTACATTTTAAATTGGATACAGAACAGCCCTCCTTTCTGGCACCAGGCCCAGCCTCCTGCACTTCCATATAAACTGGGCCCAAGATGCCACCAAAACTCAGAAATGGCAGTGATGGCAATGTCCTTCTCAAGAATCCAGGGCATGCTCTTCCTCTTGTTCCTCCGTGCCTTTGTTCTGGTCAGCCTGCAGCTCCACTGCTGCGTTTCTCCACCTTCCTGGACCCTCCCAACAGGGTCCACCTCCTCTGGGACCACGAGGAACAGGAGCTGATGGCATCTGAGCTGCAGATCCGTGCAACTGGCTGGGTGGCATCTGGATTCAGCCCTCGTGGAGGATTGCCTGGATCTGACATGGTGATAGGAGGTGTCTTCCCAAACGGCAGCTTCTACTTCGTAAGATGAAAAGGCTTCCTCTGCAGCCCCCTTTGCCAGGGGTCATGCTGCAGGTATATTGAAATAAAAGTGTGTTGAAAGGCTGAGAGAATTGGGATTGGCCAGCCTGGAGAAGAGAAGCTTTGGGGTGACCTCACTGTGGCCTTCCAGGACCTGAAGGGAGCCCACAAGGAAGATGGAGAGAGACTATTTCCAAGGGCCTGGAGTGACAGGACGTGGGGAATGGCTTCAAACTGACAGAGAGCAGGGTTAGATTGGATATCAGGGAGAAATCCTTCCCTGGGAGGGTGGGCAGGCCCTGGCACAGGTTGCCCAGAGAAGCTGTGGCTGCCCCATCCCTGGCAGTGTCCCAGGCCAGGTTGGATGGGGCTCTGAGCAACTTTTGCTCATTTACTTGATTTCCTCTGTAGGAAGTGGAGACATCAGTTCCCCTCCAAAGGTTTCTTCTCAAATGTGTCTTAGGAGTAGACCAGGACATCCTTGGGAATTGCTGGTTTTTTCACTGTCAGGCAACCACTAAGGGTAGATGCTTGATGTCATAACAGCTGGAGTTTAGAGGGAAAAGATGCCACCAAGGCTGCTAAATAAAAACCAGGCTGTTGGTTTGTTTCGTTTCATTTTAATGGCAGAAGAGGAACAGGCAGTTTGATGTTATCCAGACACAGAAAGAAAAATAGTTTATACCCATGAAGTGATGTCACAGTGGTTTTATTTCGTTCAACTGTTTTCAGTTCCCTTTTCCACCCCACAGTAAAACGTTTTTTGTGTGAAATCTGTCTCGGCACTTGTCTAAAAATGGGTGGACTTTAGAGGGGGTGAGGTAGTGACCCTTCCTTACGGTCGTTAGCTTGTTACAAAATAATTCTTGCAACTCCCACTTTTGAAATCTTTTTGTGATTGTGACACAAGCAGAACTTCTGGCTGTGAATTACTGCAGGAAAAAAAAAAAGATCAATTTAAAAGAAAGACTTGTTCTTATTTAGTAATAATTTTTAAAAAGTGATTTGAGGCAAACCTAAAGCATTTAATTTCTCCCGAGAGAGCATCCTGGAAGGAAAAATTGAAGTGCTTGGTTTCAAAAGTATTAAACATTCTATCATTTTCAGAAGATAAATATAACACTAACAATATTTTTTCCTGCCTTGGTAGTGGAAACTCTTTGTTATGCTAGAAAATAATTTTGATCCCACAGAAATTACTTTTCAACTCCTTTACAGATCAGAAAATATCTCCCAATTGTTTAGATCTGGACACATTCCAGGTAAATGCACTTTACTGACCACCAAAATCCACATCTGCTCATCTGTAAAGCACGTCCACTGAATCCATGGAACAGACAGTTTGAGGGAAAGACATGCTAATTACTGTAAATGGAGTTTAAATGGGGGTTTCCATTTGCAGTCTTCCTCCTAAGCCTCTGTCTCTCACACCTCTGGGTTTTGTTTTAGTTTTCCTCTTTACTACAACCATAACAAAGTCATTACCTGAGTAATCTCCAGTGGGTGAAAAACTGGCAAAAAATGCTTGTTTTCACAAAGATTTTTTGTCCCAACTGTTTACTTCATTTCTCTTTCATAACGTATACTTAATTGTAAATATTTATCTCAGAGAGGTTCATTTTCGGGCTGCTTGTCTTTGAATTTGGATGCTTTAATTAAAGAGTGCAATAGGTATTTCAAAAAGACCTGAGGCTGGACAACGTAAGCATTGGACAAGAACTTTAGGGGTTGTGTTAAAAGTTTCCCCTTCTTCTGTCCTTTGCAAAGTTGGTCATGGCCCCATTGGAGGTTTGGATTGCACAGGTTAAAAGATGGGCATGACTGGTCCTGGAAATACAGAAATAGAACTGGCAAGAGTAGGAATGAAGTGGGAGTGGGAGGCTTGCTGTGTGAAGGTAAAGGGCTTGTTTGCTGGGAAAATGCTGAGGGTTTAGCCCATCCCCTTAGAGTTTAGGGAGCCAAACACAGATCAGTGCTACTGAACTGCAGTGTAATTATTAACACAGACACCTCATTCTTAGCACAGTCATACAGCTCCAGTGGCCCATCCATACAGGCTCAGATAAAAATACCCAGAAGGTACTGAAGATATTTACTGTTTCCCATCATAGTTCCGTGGGAAACACACAGTATCACAGAGAAGAGAATTAAGGTTATACATCCAAATGCTCTGTGACAAGCCTGGCTAAATGCTCGGAAAATGCAACCACCCTATGTGTTACCTCCAGTATTAACTTTTGCAGCATCTCAGTGTCACCTGAAAGGATTTACAAGGGGGGCTGCAGCCCCACATTAGCACCCCTTCCATGGTGCATGCACCACCCCTGTCAAACGGAGTTCAGGAGTACCAGCTCAGTGCAGTGTTGCACCTTCCTTCCTCAGGCAGCACCAGCCACACAGCCAGCACTCCCTGAAGGCACAGCAGGATCTGCTGCCCAGCATGGGCAACACTCCACACTCAGGAGGGGCACTGTTTTCATGGGAAGCTGTGTGGGATAAGTGCCCTCACGTGCTGCGCTTGTGACTCCAGAAAAGCTGCAGTAAAAATGCTGACTGGACTGGGTGGGTGTCCTGTGCTCACTGCACGTTACAATAAGCACATCAGCAATGCAGTTCCCTACTGATGCTGGATCCCTGCACTTTTCTCTGCTTTGCTTCAGGGAATAAAGCTTGGCTTATCAAACTGTAAAACGGGGGGACAGAGGGGGTGAGGGAGGGAGTTGTGTCTGAAGATTTGGAAACTCAGGACACTACAAGCGACAGAAGCACTTCCCAACAAACATGGGCACATGGAGGCCATGAACTTCCATTTACTTCTGTTTCTTACATAACAACTCTCTGCCACCAAAAGATGAACTAGGAGTAGAATTCTCTTCTCTTTTTGAGTTTGTGTGAGGCCGGAAAAGAAAAGAACTTCCTCCTCAAGGTTAGAGAGGGGAGGGAGCTCTGAGTTGTCCCCAGTCCAAAGTGGCATTGTAAGAAAGACAGAGGGAGGAAAGGAGGACACAAGGGATCAAGAATGGCAGAAAATATTATTTATGCTGACTTAAACCTGCCTGAATCAACGAAACCCAGAGTACAGCAGGTCACTGATGTGCAAGGTAGGTCAACTGGTGTGCTTTGTTTTCCTCAATCTCCCTCCCACATCTTTTGAAGGAGTGCCAGGGAGCACCAAAGCCCCAAAGGGCACAAGGGAAACGTGGGGGCCAGTGCTGGGATAAATGGGCAGGTGGGGTGTCCAGGTGGGGTTGTTTTTTTCAAAAAGGAAACTGTAAGAAGGTCTGCTTTTCATTTGTTAGGGTGCAAGCGTGAGGGAGAGGCTCTTGGGGCACATGAGGAGTAGTAGCAAAATGTTTCAAGAATAGATTTAGATTGATTTAGTATGAAAGACATTGCAAAATTCTAACCTATGATTTATCTTTCTGTAATGCACTAAAAGTTATTGCATAAACTTTTGCACCGGTTTTGCTACATCATTTAGGAAGCATAAAATTACTTCCCGCAATAACTGACTTCATACACTGAGTCTCTGTATTTCATTTTCTCTTTTTCTTCCCTTTCTTTTTAACCTTCCTATCTCTTTGACAGAAATAATTTCTTGCCATTTTGTAGGGGTTTTTTTGCAGAAAGTGTAAACCCTCCTCATCTATTTTCAAATGGGTGGAGTTTCTTAAGCCCTCCAAAAAAGAGTTTTATCACCTCTTTTAACAGATAATTTCACAGCTAAGTTGGCAGGCAACCACAATAGATACCACCAGATTAAAAGTTCCATTTGTCTTCTCATTTAATCCATATATTTCTACTTGAAATTTTTATGCAGTTCTAATAATATTTTTATGTTTCTCTGCTTGTGCCTTTTGGGAACCCTGTACCAACTATTTTCTTCTATGTGTTCACTTATTTTATGCAAAATATTTCCCAGGTATCATCTCTATCTTACAGAAAAGAGCTCAAAACATTGGTTTCTGTCTTCTCTTCTTTTTCCTCTAATTTGCTCTTCTCTCTTTGATAGTGGATTTCCTGGATCAAATGCAGTGTTCACAAAATAGTGACATTAATTCCATAAGTCAGCAGAGAGCACTTAAACTCATAGAAAACCTTAACTCTGATTGGTGATGGAATCAAGGGATCTCAGTTCTGGTTATCAGAATGGCTTTGAGTGTTCAATAAAATCAAAACATCCTATTTCTTACTTTTGACCCACTTTTAATGGCCCCTGCCCTTTCTTCCTCCTCAGCATCTTTTCTTCCCTGCTGCTTTGTACTTGTCATCTGCAGATGTTAGTATGGCTTTTATCACTGATTATCACTAACTCCTTCATGATTAGCATGATCTGTAGCTTTTAGCCTCAGTATTTTAGTCACTCACACCATTCACGTGTGGATGAACAACCTTAGACACCCTTCGATATTTTTCTCCACTTTGGTTCCTATTTAAAATGCGTGTGTTGTCCTCTCTGATTGCCCTCACTGTTCCTGCCCGTAGCAGGTCAGCATTTCTCAGAATTTTGTTAGGTTTTGTTTCAGGGCAGTTGTTTCTCAGCTCTCTCTGTGCTCTGCTGTTTTTGCCCGGGCTCAGGTTCCACGTACGCAGAACTGAGAGTGAAACCCCAAGGCACAGACGCTGCAAGGAGCCACTCGTCAGGTGGTGAGTTTTGAGCTGTCTGACAAACTGATCTGAATTTTAAACAGGAGAGGAGAGGAGACCATTGCTTCTTTTCCAAAAATGCAGCGATATAAAACCGTGTGGGACACAGGAGGATACAGCTGTCTGCTCTGCCTATTCAGAGCAGGGCCAGCTGATGTGTTCCATTATATGCAGCTAAACCTTTTCATCTCCACGGGAACAGGAATGCAAGAATATCATGGGCCACACTGAGAAATCACCCAGCCCAGCTTCCTGTCTCCCACAGCACTGAGAAGTCAACAACTGGAGATGAAGTAGCAGAGAGCGGGCACGTCTGATGCCTTCCTGTAACAGTTTCACACGCAGGACTTTCACATTTCCCCCAGGGACTTGCTTAGGCTGATGTGTTTCTATTTACACGCCCTTCTCAGTCATCCCCTTCCAGCACTGCAGAACCTCACTGTACATCACCATTTACCACTTCCCTCCTCAGAACCTCTTCCTGTACAGTTTTTGAAACAGGAGTGGTAGAAACTGCAGGAACCCTTGAAGGTGGAGGCAAATTGTGGATTTATCAGACCACGTGGCAGAGAAACCATTAGATCTGTTCCTTTCTAGTCCCTGGGTGCAAAGAGGGCTTCGTGGGTATGATTACAGAACAGCATTAGCAATCCAGCTATCTCCCACCTAATGTCCCTTGGAACTGGTTATTATATCCATGTTTTATTTGATCAACAATCTGCTCCTCCCAGCTGTGTCACCTTCCTTTAGCCTGTTCCCAGACCATTCTTGGCAGGTGCCTTGTATTGGCCACGTGTTCCAAGGGGCTGTGCTTCAATAACCCCTGGGCTGCCTGCACAAGCCCCCTCTCCTTGGGGCAGTTCCCCTCTCTTACCCACTGCACTCTAGTTGTCCTTATTCAATTCAGTGCTGTGAGGACTCTCTCCCCTGTACCCTGTTCCTCAAGCACATTCCATACTGGGATGCTGTTCAGTTCCCCAGGTGTCCAGAGCTGCCTGGGAAGCACCAGGACATTCAGCCTGGCTTCAGCAGGCAAACCTGGAAAGCCTGAGATTCCCAGGGTGAGCTTGAAAAAGGCACCTGGGAATGAAGAGGAAGGGGCTTTATTCCAGTTGTTCCCCTGATCTTTATTTTTCCTATCTGTAGGTAAAAGCTGCCGTTCCAGAAAACGTGTTGCTGCACTGGTTGCTCTGTTGGTTGTGATAATCCTCCTACTGGTCCTGGCAGGGTGTCTGGTACACCAGTGTAAGTTCTGAAATAAATGTAATAACAGCAATTAATTTGTGCCTCTCACTCACCAAATGATATCCAGGTCATGACCTCCAACACCTTCTGTGTCAAGAGAAGGAGAGTTGGAAGGCAAAGGACAGCTGTTTTTAACAAGCTGTGGCTGAAAGAGGAACTCCATAAAAGAGTCGATTGGTTTGAAAGTTTCAGTATCAAAACAACACCACAAAAAAACCCCAACACCCAATTGAAAAAGTGACAATGTTCAGACACTAATGAGTTTATTACACAGATGTTTTGAAGAAAGAAATCAAGATAAAATAACACCTTTCGGTATTATGATGGCAATCAGTGAGAGTATTTCATGGCAATGATATTCTGTCGTGGCAACCAGATGATTGTGACAGCAAAACCTTTAAATAATTATGAATAAAAGCTAATTTGAAAGAGGCAGCTCAGTCATACCTTAAGGAAGTTTATTTGCAACTTCAAGGAATCATTTTTATATTTCAGCTGGGCTTGGTTGTCTTTTTCCATCCTTTGATAGCTGAACAAGCTTGAGAGGCTTCCACAATGGGTCACAACTGATGAAGGTTTCTCAAACCTCACAGGAACTCTGCTGTCTCATCCTGGCCTGGGGGAGCAGCACTGCTGGAGCAGCTTCCAGCTGGGGCACAGGAGGGCTCTGCCCCAATGTGTGCCTGGGCTGTTTGGGGCAGGAGCAGAGGCTGGGTGGGAAGGGGCTGAGCCAAGGGTGCATTGGCTGGAGCCCTGAGCTCCCCAACACGGCTCCTGTCTGCTCTTGCTGTGGTTCTGAGTGTGCACCCCAGTCCCCACCACTCTGACAAGGTGGGGGCAGTTCTGGCTCAGGTTCAGAGTTTGGCCCTTTGGAAATCTGCCCCAGAGCAGGAAGGACTATTCTGAGGGGTATTTTTTAATGGATGAGCAAAAAGGTAGGATGGGAATTCTATGCTGGGTGATGGGGATGTCAGAGAAGTCCAGGACAGTTTTGACAGTGTTTGGAAAAATAATCCTTCATTCCAAGCAGAAATTGTATTTTTATTTTCCAGACCATTCAACTGTAAGCAGCCCACAGGACTCAACAACCTTGCATCAAGTCCCTAAAGAGCCCCCAGGTAGGTCATTCCAATGCTCTGTCATTCCAAAGAGAGTTTCCAGAAACGTGGTGGATTGCCTGTGAAGGGCAGCAGGAGAGGGGCTGTGTCTGGATTTTGTTCAGAAGGGAAACAAAACCACAAACCTTCTGCCATCTCAGGAACCAAAACCTTATCCCAGACACTCCCAGGATGAGCTCTGGAGAACAGACAGGTTTCCCATTTGCATCCCCTTTAGGAGCAGGGTTGGGTCAGCTCTGCATTCCTGTCCCAGAGGGAAGAGCTGATGCCTCTCTCCTGCCAGGGCAGAGCACTCTGTGGGTCTGGGGGTCTGCTGACAATTCTAAGCAGGACCACACAGGTGGCTCTAATTTCTCTCTTACCTCTCTTTTGTCGTGGGATGGTTTTGTGAGTGTGAACATGGATTTTCCCACACCTCTTCTTCCCTCCTGCAGCCTGCCCCAACCAGTGGGAAAAACACGGCAGAAAATGCTACTTCTTTCCTCCATACAAAGAACAGGACTGGAATGGCTCCCGTGAGGAATGTGCTGCCATGGGTTCAGACCTGGTGGTCATTGACAACGAGGATGAACTGGTGAGATCTCAATCCCTGGAGCTGTTCCAGGGTTGCTCCAGGGCAAAGGCTGAGGAGTTGCACTGGGGTCTGCTCCTGTGGGATGTCTCTGGGGTCTCCAATCTGCTGCCAGCCACTGACACTCCCAGCTGGAGAGGGAGTAAAGCCCTTCAGAGGAAGATGCATCCTGGAGGTTGGAGTCTTGCCTCTGGAAGCTTCTCTCCCCAGGCTGGCTCCCATGGGAAGGAGCAAACTCTCTGCCCAGCTGACTTGTGTTTTACAGAGAGTTACCACAAGCCAAGAGGGTCAAACAGACACTTCTTTGGGAGAGCCATTGCTTGGACACAAATGAAAAGGCTTTCCCACCATAATCAGAACAGAAAAGTGTCTCCATATGTCAAGTCAGACCTGTCTAAATACCATGCAGGGCTCTAAAGATATCAGAGCTTTATTACTTTATTTATTGTATTCATAAGAATCCCTGGGGAAGAGTGATGATCTTAAGTAAAAATGGAAAACTTCAGCCTCTGGAAGTGTGGAAAGAGTTGGTGAGGCTGGATGCTCTCTGTGCCCTCTGTGATGGGTATTTAGCACCGTACATCTGTACATACTGCACACCACACTGTACCTGTGGTGTAGAAAATGTAATTTGAATGTATTTGCTTCCTTTCCAGCGTTACCTCACTGAGCGATCAAGATACAAGTACTACTTACTTGGTCTCACACGCTCTGAGAGGGAGCAGAAGTGGAGGTGGATTAACAGCATGGAACATGACCCAGCCCTGTAAGCTCATTGCAGCAAGTCCCTGTCAGGCAACGTCTGGAAAGAGGGAAAAACCTCAAACCTAGAGCAGAGAGTGGAGAGCACAAGTGAGATCAGGGCCAGAGAAGGGGAGGAACCTGATTCCTTGAGATACAGGTGCTTCAGCACATCCCTGTGACAAGGAAAAGGGAGCCTTGAAGTCCCATGGGAACACAGGCTGTCCCATCAGGATGGCAAGAGAGGACAGAGCTGGAGTTCTGGTGGGGAAGGAAGGAAGGATCTGAGTGATGGAGTTGTGTGGGGAAAGGGAGGATAGAGGAGGCAGGGACAAGAGGGAGTGTGATGTCAGCTCCACTGGATGGAGGAGACCAAAGCAGGGAAAGGTCTCTGCATGGGAAAGCTTTGCCCAAATACTTTTGTTGAGAGCTGGGGAAGAAAAGTGAGGAATGGGAGAGAGACTCCAAGAAGGCGGTTTCTGCTCCCACTGACAAGAACAGAGCTTGGCAGCAGGGCCAGGGGCCACTGTGCTTTCACTGCATCACATCCAGCTGTGTCAGCAATGCAGCTAAACCTGGCTTTCTCTTCCTCTTCAGGTTTGATATAGTTGGACCTTATCGTGGCTATCACTGCACAGTCATTGGATTTGGTCAAGTACAAACTGCACCTTGTGGTGGATCTTCAACAACTGAAAATATGTGTGAAAGAGCTGCAACAATGTCAGAAAGGTAGAAGGGGAGCTCAAAAGAAGAGTTCCAGGCAGGAATGTTATCTCCAGCTTCCTGTAGGAAATGCAGAAAGGATTTGTCTCCTTTACCTTCAGCTGCCCAAATCTCCAATCAAAGGGACTCCTGCAGCCCCTCCAGACCCCTTGCCAAGCTCAGCCCCTCCTTTCCCAGGATGGGAGTGTGAGACTGGATGGATGCCCCTCCAGAGGACCCTGCCTTTGCCCACAGTGCCAGTCTGGGACTTGCTCCTCCCAGGGCTCTGACTTTCAGGCAGCCCTGGCAGGCAGATGAGTCCAGCCTGGGGGACAGGGGTGATCCCCAGCAGATCCTGCCCCCAAACACACATCCATCTCTGCCCATGTGTTCCCAGCCCTGCCTGTGCACAGGGAGACCCCTCCCAGCCCTGCCCTGCCCTGCCCTGCCCTGCAGCCACCCGTGCAGCTGAGCACAGGCTCCTGCTTGGCCTCCTGGCCTGTCCCACAGATGGGACTGACGGGACAAAGTCCCGTGGGTGGGTGGAGAAACCTTCCTCTGGCCAAAGCTGCCTGTTAAAAACCCACAGGGGTACCAGACCCCGTGGGGCTGGAATGGGAATCACCACAAGAGGACTGATCCTCCACCAGCACAGCCCTGGGCACGAAATCCCCCTGGGGCTGTGGAGGGCAGGGCAGGTGGATCAGGTTCAGGATGTGCTGGGGAAGGGCAGAGGATGCAGAGCAGCAGAGACAGCAATGCCTGCAGAACAGAGCCACAACAGAAGCTCATCTGGACAGAAAGCAGGACAATCAAAGCCAGAGTTATGAGGGAAGGAGATGGTGAGAAGTGTGAGAGTGACCTACAGGGACTGACAACACAGTGCACTGCCTTCTTTTCTTGGGGATTGATCAAAGCACAAAATTGTGCCTGAAGTTTTTTCCTCCTCAGGCAAGGTAGAGCCAACACCAGGAACAAGTGGTACCAGGAAAACAGAGATGTGCTCAGCAAACAGGGAATGTTCCAAAGCTCTTCCAATGTGCTTCAGTGGCTCTTGGGACCCTGGGCCTTTTGGGCCATGTTTTTTTTACCACGTCCTTTGAGGCAGAATCAATCTTACCTAAAATGGTGACGTTCCTGGCTCTCTCCCTCACCTGCAGGATGGAGAAAGCTCCTTCCCTGGGAGCCACAGGTCTTACCATGTAGACTTCAGCAAGAAGCTCTGCATCAGTTGTCACCGAAAGGGGGAAGCTTGTCCTTGGGTCACTGTGGAACGACATAAAATCCATCAAGCCCAGAAAGCTGCAGAAAGTCACAGGACTCAGGACCAAGCACTGCTTACAAGGAATTCCTCAACAAGAGCAAAACTTTGATTGAAAGTTATTTATTTCTGCTTCCTCTGTGTTTTTCTCGTTCACAAAGTAATCTCCTCTGATTTTGTTATTTTATTTTTTACACAAATGTTTACAGCTTGAACTAGACAAGGCCAGAGTATGAAATAAAAATCCAACATTTTTGGCTTTTTGGAAACATGTTTTTGCTCTCAGTACTGTTGGATAAGGAGGGAGAGAAAGGAGAAACATAATCAAAATAAGCTTGTGAGTCAGAAATAACCCTGTCCCCAGCACATGACCAGAGCAATTGAGAAACATTTCACAGAAGTCAGTTCCTCAGAAAGAAATAACTCTGTTTCTGGGTATTTCAGAGGAGGTCGTGGACACTGAGCAGCACCTCTGTGTGTTTGTGGGAAAAGGGTAGCAAAGTTCCAAGTCTCAGGAGGATTTAACATCCTTTAGACAGCGCAGAGCGTGACTATAGAAGCAAGATCATTCATTTTCAATGACATCCTCTAAAACAGCCTGGACACGAGACAGGAAGGATGAAGATTCTGACTTTCATTTTTTTCTCACTTTCTCGTTTCAAATGGAAAGTCTGAGAGCAGCAATTTCAGCTGTGCTGAGATTCAGCTGGAGGTTGTGAATGGTTAACCTTGAGCAGTCCCACTCTGCTAGGTTGCAAAAGTGCACTCACGTTCCATGTTGGACAGGAGTTTGGGACAGGAGATAACACCAGACCTCAAAACCAGCCACAGGTACAGCACCTACAAACAAACAATTCCTACAGATTAATAAGAGCATGGATAGCATCACTATTTAATGTCTTATCTTCCCCTGAGGTTTAATCCCCTTGAGGTACATGCCAGTTTTCCCCATCCTCCCACATTACCCCCGAGGTGCACCCACGTCCTCGAGGAATGGGATTGGTTTGGAATTGCCTAGCTCAGCTCCTTTTGGGGTGCCATGCTGCTAAAGAACTTGCTTTTGAAGGCCCTTTTGAAGAGGAATGGGTTGCAGGGTGCGTTGCCAACCACCTCAAAGTCATCTCCACAATGGTAAGCACGTGTTTTACCAGGTTCATGGCAGCAATTCCAGCTGAGAACATGATTGTTAGTCCAGCCAGGCTGCTCCAGCAGCCAGCTACTACTAGGGAAGGAAAAGACAATCCACAGCCACTGCTTTGCTGCAACAGGGGTTCCTGTGCAGGACCTCACCTCATCTCAGGCTAAGAGCCACAGCTGTGTGTGAATCACTGCCTTCTAGCTCCTGGGCAGCAATATTCCCATGCAAATGGACTCAGCCCAAAGTCCCTCTCTTTGCTTCAAAAGACACTTTCTAGCCTAGCACATGTGTTCCAAGAATTTCTTGGTTCTCACCCTGCCACAGAAAGAACCAGGCAGTTTCCTTTCCCACCCTCTGCCCTCACCCAGTCTAACAGGGAGAGAGGAAGCCCTGACTGTGAAGTTACATTGAGCAAGATGAAAACTCTCCCCAGCCAAAATTAGCACCCCTCTGCAACAAATACTTCCCTCTTCAATTGCATTTCCCCCTCCTTTCTGGTGGCATCTCCTTGGCAGCAGACCTCCTCATCAGCTAAGTGTGCTCAGCACTTGCTCTGTGCAAAGTTCAGTAGAGGAGAACTAAGGTCATGAGGTGAATGGGAGGTACCTTGGCCACAGCTTTCTAAAACTCTTCCCCACTGAGCTGAAGACATTTTACCCCGTGTACTGGATATGTTTTCTAAAACCAACTGCATCATATTTATTTGTGCCTAGTTGGGATTATTATTCTCAAAAATTCTCTACCAAAAATCACTAAAATCTAGAGGAACTCAGGAAAAGAATAAAATCATATAGAGTAGAAACATAGATCAAATACAGGTATACTTATCCGAAGAAGTTCTGTGCAGACAGATCATAAATTCCTTCTCCAGAAGGCCTCAGCAGAGGACAGCTTAAGAAAATTACCCTTGAGATTTATTATAGCTTTTATTGTTTTTCAGCTACTTTGGAGGTTCTGCTTCTGTTTTCTTTGAAAACATAGTTTCTTCTATTGCTTTTTCCTCTTCCACCATAAATTTTCAGTTCCTTTTTCGTCTTTCTCCTAGAGCTTTCACTGAAATGGGATCTCTTTGCAGTTCATGGGCTCAGTTTCGTGGTGTCTTTTCCTCAAAGCTCCATGCCATGAGACCTTGAAGAACTCAGAAGGGGCTGTTCTTTTTTCCAAGCTGGCTCTGAGTCGTGGCAGCCAAACTTCCAGAAGGCTGGAGGAGCTCAGGGTTCTCACACACTGATGCTAGGGGAGTTCATAGCACTCATATGAATCATATGTGCCTTTCCTAAAAAAGGCACAAAACTCACAAACATAAGCACAAGTGAGACAGGGAGCTAGAAATGAAGTGTCATATTGGGTGTCTGTTCCTTGCCTGAATATGTAAAACTACAGGCAAATTATAACAGGAGACACTAAATAAGTCTGTCTGGTTTTTGTTATTTATTACCAATAAGGGAGGCCCTTTTGCAAAAATGAAAGCAGGACACTGAAACAATCAAAATCATTCCTTTCAATTAAAATAGAGTGGGGTTTTTATTTATTTGGAGTGCACACTGTTTGTTTGTGCTCAGTTTACAAAATATGCTCAGTTTACAAAACTGCAAAAGAAGGTGAGTCCTGGTTTTAGTCACTAAAGCAAGGAAGACAGGGAATCAGGTAGGAGAGATGATGCCTGTGTGCTCTCCATGTTCCCTTGTGTTCACTTGCAGGTCCAGCACCCGAGCCAAGGGTGGGATGGACAGCAGACATGGATCAGTGACAGGGATGGAAAGCTGCTCCCTGGACACTCAAACTGCGCTGCCAAAGCAGACAGGGCTGGTGGGCACACGATGAAACCGCTCCTTCTGACAATCCCATGTCTGCCCTTCCCACGTGCCAGTAGATGGGCACAAGGGGCGAGCTCTTCCTCTCTCGGATCCTCCTTCCAGTGCCAGATGTTGCGAAATAAAGATGTAAAAAACGATTGCAGTCGTGCACAGGCCTTTGTGAACATCCCTTCCCCCCTGCTCTCACACCTCTTGCACGTGGGGGTTGCTGCTTCTTGGCCCTGTGAAAGAGCAACACAAAGCTAAAGGCAACATCCTCAGCAAAATTCTAGGTGAGTCTGACTGGGAGTGAAAGGGCTCACATTACTACTACATTCAGTAGTAAAATAGAAATTCAACTGTGATAGAATAGGCAAGTAGAACAAAGAAAGAACAACACTATCACCACAAATTTTATCCAAGTATTTTGTTATAAGCCTTTATTTAAAAAACTTGTAGACGGATACAGTGGAGCAAATATTGCCATTGTTTATATCCTATATAATCCCTCCTTAAATTCACTGTGCTTAAGCAGAACTTGGCTTTACTGTTCTAAATTATTTTGGTCATTCTTGATTAAAGCTAGGGCACTGAGCTAATCAAAGTCATATTTCTTTGTTTGTTTGTTTGTTTATTTGTTTGGTTTTGAGCTGTAAAACATGTTCTGTGTAAAAATATCCTTACAAAAATATTCTGCATTTTTTCAAAACCTTTCAGCCTGGCAGGTGATGCAGTTTCACAATCAATTGGGAAACATGGAAGCTCCCAGACCTTGGTATGATTTAATAAAAGAACTTTTAAAATATTTGCATCTCTTGTATATGAAACTCAAGTCATCAAAGACAGAATAGCTACAAAACTGACTAAAGAGCCATTACTAAAATGAGTTGCCTATTAAATGAACAAGCCAAAAAAGTACAGTCAGAGTTGAAAAGTAAATATTGCAGTGGAAGTACAAGGTCCTGGTACGTGATCCATCACCTCTCCACAGAAGTGCCTCATATCCCTGATACCTCAGGTGTTTCTCCAGTTAAGATGTATCTGGACAGGCATCTCAGTATTATTTATGGCAGCAGGAGTGGCAACCATTTCAGTAGGAATGATTCTGCCTGAAAGGACACAGTAAGAAGGATAATCCTTGGTGTCCCAAAAGGCCCAGGCTGCCAAGAGTCACTGAAGCACATTGGAAGAGCTTTGGGAACATTCCCTGTTTGCTGAGCACATCTCTGTTTTCCTGGTACCACTTGTTCCTGGTGTTGGCTCTACCTTGCCTGAGGAGGAAAAACTTCAGGCACAATTTTGTGCTTTGATCAATCCCCAAGAAAAGAAGGCAGTGCACTGTGTTGTCAGTCCCTGTAGGTCACTCTCACACTTCTCACCATCTCCTTCCCTCATAACTCTGGCTTTGATTGTCCTGCTTTCTGTCCAGATGAGCTCTGTTGTGGCTCTGTTCTGCAGGCACTGCTGTCTCTGCTGCTCTGCATCCTCTGCCCTTCCCCAGCACGTCCTGAACCTGATCCACCTGCCCTGCCCTCCACAGCCCCAGGGGGATTTCGTGCCCAGGGCTGTGCTGGTGGAGGATCAGTCCTCTTGTGGTGACTCCCATTCCAGCCCCACGGGGTCTGGTACCCCTGTGGGGTTTTAACAGGCAGCCTTGTCCAGAGGAAGGTTTCTCCACCCACCCACGGGACTTTGTCCCGTCAGTCCCATCTGTGGGACAGGCCAGGAGGCCAAGCAGGAGCCTGTGCTCAGCTGCACGGGTGGCTGCAGGGCAGGGCAGGGCAGGGCAGGGCTGGGAGGGGTCTCCCTGTGCACAGGCAGGGCTGGGAACACATGGGCAGAGATGGATGTGTGTTTGGGGGCAGGATCTGCTGGGGATCACCCCTGTCCCCCAGGCTGGACTCATCTGCCTGCCAGGGCTGCCTGAAAGTCAGAGCTCTGGGAGGAGCAAGTCCCAGACTGGCACTGTGGGCAAAGGCAGGGTCCTCTGGAGGGGCATCCATCCAGTCTCACACTCCCATCCTGGGAAAGGAGGGGCTGAGCTTGGCAAGGGGTCTGGAGGGGCTGCAGGAGTCCCTTTGATTGGAGATTTGGGCAGCTGAAGGTAAAGGAGACAAATCCTTTCTGCATTTCCTACAGGAAGCTGGAGATAACATTCTTTCTTCAATCTCTTCTTTTGAGCTCCCCTTCTACCTTTCTGACATTGTTGCAGCTCTTTCACACATATTTTCAGTTGTTGGAGATCCACCACAAGGTGCACGTTTCTACTTCACCAAATCCAATGACTGTGCAGTGATAGTCACGAAAATGTCCAATTATATCAAACCTGAAGAGGAAGAGAAAGCCAGGTTTAGCTGCATTCCTGACACAGCTGGATGTGATGCAGTGAAAGCACAGTGGCCCCTGGCCCTGCTGCCAAGCTCTGTTCTTGTCAGTGGGAGCAGAAACCGCCTTCTTGGAGTCTCTCTCCCATTCCTCACTTTTCTTCCCCAGCTCTCAACAAAAGTATTTGGGCAAAGCTTTCTCATGCAGAGACCTTTCCCTGCTTTGGTCTCCTCCATCCAGTGGAGCTGACATCACACTCCCTCTTGTCCCTGTCTCCTCTATCCTCCCTTTCCCCACACAACTCCATCACTCAGATCCTTCCTTCCTTCCCCACCAGAACTCCAGCTGTGTCCTCTCTTGCCATCCTGATGGGACTGCCTGTGTTCCCACGGGACTTCAAGGCTCCCTTTTCCTTGTCACAGGGATGTGCTGAAGCACCTGTATCTCAAGGAATCAGGTTCCTCCCCTTCTCTGGCCCTGATCTCACTTGTGCTCTCCACTCTCTGCTCTGGGTTTGGGGTTTTTCCCTCTTTCCAGACGTTGCCTGACAGGGACTTGCTGCAATGAGCTTACAGGGCTGGGTCATGTTCCATGCTGTTAATCCACCTCCACTTCTGCTCCCTCTCAGAGCGTGTGAGACCAAGAAAGTAGTACTTGTATCTTGATCGCTCAGTGAGGTAACGCTGGAAAGGAAGCAAACCACGGCAAGATATTAAACTTACATTTTCTTCAGCAGAGGAATAGAAAGCTTAGTGCTAAATGGCCAACACAGAGGGCACAGAGAGCATCCAGCATCACCAACTCTTTCCACACTTCCAGAGGCTGAAGTTTTCCATTTTTACTTAAGATCATCACTCTTCCTTCAGGAATCTTATGAAAAGAATAAATAAACCCCCAGGATGCATCTTCCTCTGAAGGGCTTTGCTCCCTCTCCAGCTGGGGGTGTCAGGGGCTGGCAGCAGATTGGAGACCCCAAAGACATCCCACAGGAGCAGACCCCAGTGCAACTCCTCAGCCTTTGCCCTGGAGCAACCCTGGAACAGCTCCAGGGATTGAGATCTCACCAGTTCATCCTCGCTGTCAATGACCACCAGGTCTGAACCCATGGCAGCACATTCCTCACGGGAACCATTCCAGTCCTGTTCTTTGTATGGAGGAAAGAAGTAGCATTTTCTGCCGTGTTTTTCCCACTGGTTGGGGCAGGCTGCAGGAGGGAAGAAGAGGTGTGGGAAAATCCATGTTCACACTCACAAAACCATCCCACGACAAAAGAGAGGTAAGAGAGAAATTAGAGCCACCTGTGTGGTCCTGCTTAGAATTGTCAGCAGACCCCCAGACCCACAGAGTGCTCTGCCCTGGCAGGAGAGAGGCATCAGCTCTTCCCTCTGGGACAGGAATGCAGAGCTGACCCAACCCTGCTCCTAAAGGGGATGCAAATGGGAAACCTGTCTGTTCTCCAGAGCTCATCCTGGGAGTGTCTGGGATAAGGTTTTGGTTCCTGAGATGGCAGAAGGTTTGTGGTTTTGTTTCCCTTCTGAACAAAATCCAGACACAGCCCCTCTCCTGCTGCCCTTCACAGGCAATCCACCACGTTTCTGGAAACTCTCTTTGGAATGACAGAGCATTGGAATGACCTGCCTGGGGGCTCTTTAGGGACTTGATGCAAGGTTGTTGAGTCCTGTGGGCTGCTTACAGTTGAATGGTCTGGAAAATAAAAATACAATTTCTGCTTGGAATGAAGGATTATTTTTCCAAACACTGCCAAAACTGTCCTGGACTTCTCTGACATCCCCATCACCCAGCATAGAATTCCCATCCTACCTTTTTGCTCATCCATTAAAAAATACCCCTCAGAATAGTCCTTCCTGCTCTGGGGCAGATTTCCAAAGGGCCCAACTCTGAACCTGAGCCAGAACTGCCCCCACCTCGTCAGAGCTGCCCTTCATAGGCAATCCAACAGGCTTCTGGGAACTCTGGAATCACAGAGCATTACCTACCCAGTGGCTTTTTTTCAGGGATTGGGGACTGTGTTGTTGAATTACAGGGGCTGCATCCAGTCAGATGGTCTGGAAAATAAAAATACAATTCCTGCTTGGAATAAATGACCATTTGGCCAGCCACTCTCAGAGCTCTCCTGGACTTTTTGATTTACGGATTGGCAACTTCACTTTGCTCATCCACTGGAAGGCAAAACAAAGCCAAACTGTGGTTCCTGCTCTGGGGCAGATTTCCAAAGGGCCAAACTCTGAACCTGAGCCAGAACTGCCCCCACCTTGTCAGAGTGGTGGGGACTGGGATGCACACTCAGAACCACAGCAAGAGCAGACAGGAGCCGTGTTGGGGAGCTCAGGGCTCCAGCCAATGCACCCTTGGCTCAGCCCCTTCCCACCCAGCCTCTGCTCCTGCCCCAAACAGCCCAGGCACACATTGGGGCAGAGCCCTCCTGTGCCCCAGCTGGAAGCTGCTCCAGCAGTGCTGCTCCCCCAGGCCAGGATGAGACAGCAGAGTTCCTGTGAGGTTTGAGAAACCTTCATCAGTTGTGACCCATTGTGGAAGCCTCTCAAGCTTGTTCAGCTATCAAAGGATGGAAAAAACCCAGCAGCCATATATGGAATCCAGAACTTATTCCTTGAAGGTGGAAACAAATTTTCATAAGCTGTGACTGAGCTGCCTCTTTCAAATTAGCTTTTATTCATAATTATTTTAAGATATGTGGTGTTATGGACATCTTGGTGAGACGATACAATATCATCAACTTGAAATATTCTCATGGATTGCAATCATAATATTAACAGGCATTACCTAATCCTGACTTTGTTTCTTTAAAATATTTGTTTAGTAAATTCTGCATCGTTCGAATATTGTCAGGTTTTCAACTGGGTTTTGGCTTTTTTTCTTTTGGAATTTCATACCTTCAACACACTCGACTCTATCACGGATTTCTTTTCTTACCGCCACCACTGGCTAAAAAATGGGTCCCTTTGCCTTCTACCTGTCCTTCTGTCGACACTGGCTTTGGATGTCATGGCCTGGGCATCAGTCATGGAGCGAGAGTCACCATTAATTGCTGTTACTGCACTTGGAGCTGAACTTACGCATGATTATCCGACACAGGACGATGAACTGGACAAGGTTTATCACGATCAGTACAGCAACTACGACACTAACACGTTTTCTGGAGCAGCAGCTTTTATCTACAGATAGACAGGAAAAATAAAGATCAGAGAATGGCTGGAAAATGGCTGGAAAAAAAGCCCCTTCCTCTTCTTTCCAAGATGCCCTTGCCAGGCTCACCCTGGGAATCTCAGGCTTTCCAGGTTTGCCTGCTGAAGCCAGGCTGAATGTCCTGGTGCTTCCCAGACAGCTCTGGACACCTGGGGAACTGAACAGCATCCCAGTATGGAATGTGCTTCAGGAACAGGGTACAGGGGAGAGAGTCCTCACAGTAGAAGATTGTGTAAGCACAGCTGGAGTGTGGGTGTGTTAAGAGAGGGGAACTGCCCCAAGGAGAGGGGGCCTCTGAAAGAGAAGATAAAAAGGGGTAGGAAACATCGAGAAGATAAGGCCAGAGTAGAGAATTTGAATTAACCCTTTGTATCAGGGTTGACTGAGTAAGAACTGGGTGGATCTCCCATTTCAGAGCAGGTGTTTGTGAGGAGACACATGAACTGGAAGGCATCCCATAAAACAGGGATGTATTAACCAATTCCAAGGGACATGAGGTGGGAGATGGCTGTATTGCTGATGCTGTTTTGTTACCTCAATCTTAAAGGTCTTTTGGCACCCAGGAACTAGAAGGTAACCGATCTAACGGGAATTCAAACTAAGAAAATCAAAAGAATGCTCCAGAGAAGATCTGTGAAAATCAACCCTGCCGTCCTGACCACGCAGCCATGGAATGCTTTAGGCTGGAAGTGACCTTTTCACATCACCTCCTCCAATTGGAAACAGACAAGGAGGGTTCACATTTTCTGCAAAAGACAAGCACAGAATGGCAGAAAATCATTTCTGCCAAAGAGATAGGTAAATTAAAAGAAATGAAAGGAAAAAGAGAAACATAAATACAGAGACACAATGTATGAAGTCTGTTATTTTAGGAAGTAATGTTATGCAGGTGTAGCAAAACCAGTGCAAAGGTTTATGCAACAGTTTTTAGGGCATTAAAGAAAGCTAAAACAGAGGTGAGAATTTTCCAAGGTCTTTTATACTAAATCAAACTCAACCTGCCCATGAAACATTTTACACCTGATGCATTCAACAAGCAGTTTGCACAGGCAGAGCCAAGAGGGAAAGCCCTGAGGCAATGCCTGCTGTGCTCAGGGAGCACAAACAGCCTGTGCCTGAGACTGCTGCAAACACCAGCAACAGGAGACACTCAACCCTGAGCCCTCTGCTGCAGGACTCAGTGTGCTGGGGGAGAACCAGCCTGGCTCAGGGCCAGTGGATGTTCAGCTGGACAACAGTCTCCAAAATTGATAAAAACTACTCTTTATATCACACAAGAGACTCTCCCTCCCACTTGCACCTAAACAAATGAAAAGCAGGCATCATCACAATCCCAGCCTTACCTGGACACCCCACCTGCCCATTTATCCCAGCACTGGCCCCCACGTTTCCCTTGTGCCCTTTGGGGCTTTGGTGCTCCCTGGCACTCCTCCAAAAGATGTGGGAGACGAACTGAAGACTGCAAAGACAGCTCAGTGCACACCAAGTGACCCACCTTGCACATCAGTGACCTGCTGGGCTCGGGGTCTGGCTGGCTCAGGCAGGTTCAGGTCAGTGCAAATATTTTCTGCCATTCTTGCTCTCCCCTGTCCTTTCTTCTCACTGCTGCTCTTACGAGGACACTGCACTGGGCGTGACTCAGAGCTCCCTCCCCTGCCCAACCTTCAGGAGGAACTGCTTTCTTTTTCCTGTCATACCCAAAATGAGAACTGAAACATAATTCATCTTCTGATGATGGAGGGTTAAATCCAAGAAACATCAGTAAATACAATTCACGGCCTCCCTGTGGCCGCCTTTGCTGGGAAGTGACTCAGGCATCAGTGTCTTGAGTTTCCAAAGCTTCAGAACTTGCTGTGTCGTGAGGAACGTGGGGTTTGTGCAGCTCAGAAACACGTTCTTCCTCCCTGTGGGTAAATTCTGAGGGCAATGTGGGTTCATAAAGGGGGGCTGGTCCATCCTGCCTCAGACAGTGCAAAAGGTGCTTAATATACAGAGCAGCAACTGGAACAGGTCAGTCTAAGCAAGACTTTTGTGTAGCCGCCGTTTGCACTCTCAAATTCTTTGTGCTTGAGATGTAGTAATTACGATCCAACAGAGAGCAAGAAAGACAGACACAAAAGAGATTCACCAGACAGACTATACTGCAGTTTTCTGATAAGTGCTAAATAAATGCAGTAAGAAACAGCAGGCCAGGGGCAGATTCTGTGTGTGGTCAGCTGGCCATGACTGTATCAGTCAGGACACACTTGATGGAAAAAATGGCCTGAGTATCTTGGCAAAAATCACCACCAAGGGATTTCAGCTTTGGGGAGGAAACAGCGAATGAAGGCGAGGTTCTTAAAAGAAACCCTCAAACCATTAAAAAGCCCAGAAGCTGTTGTATTGAAGTAACTAAGCAACAAGGCAGTAGTTCACTAACAAAAAGCAAGAACAGCAGATAGTGGTTCAATAGCAGGCAAACCAAAAGTGTAACACAAGACAGAGGGGAAAAAAAAAATCAAAACAAGATGGGGAAAAAAGAGGAGGGGTGTGGGGAGGAACACATACTTCTGAGACACCATGAGATGGTCTGATATCTCTGCAGACCCATCACCCCAGGCAGGTCTCTCACTGCACTTCTCACACAAAATCCTTTTTGGTCCCCCAGGGAGGGCAGCCCTGGCTACAGCACCTTCAGCTGGGCAGAAGAGGTGTTAAACAGACCCAGTTCAGGGAAATAAACCTTTCTGAGCAGCCCAGATGTCACTCCATGCCTGTGGGGGAAGGTGCTCTGCTCCACCAGCTGCAGCCCAAAGACACATGCACAGGATGCTGGGCAGGAGAGGGGGGTGAGAAGCTCTGTGGAGCTCATGGCAGGGTGAGCCACCACTTCAAAAGCCACAGGTGACCTCTGTGCGTGCACGTGCTCTTCCCTCTTCTCCTCTTTGGCTCAGACAGGACCTATCAGCACCAGCACCTCTGGCTGACAAGGAGGCTGCACAGCCTCCCTTCAGTGTGGCCCCCCAAAAGCTTCCTGGAGCAGAGGCACAGCCTGCAGACACCCTGGGGAGAAACATCTGGCACTGCTCCCTGTGCAGGGGACACCAAACTCAGCGGGTGAAATCCACAGTCGGGCTTTTTGGAACCTTTTTTTTCTTGGTTTGTGGCTGCAAAGGCTTCACAAGGTGAGTGGCTTTTCAAGGTGCTGAACCTGGTGGTTGCTCTGTGATGGAACATGTATTATCTATAGAGAAATACGGGGAGATTACTGGAACATAACGTTTACAGAGAGTACAGCTACTAATCTTTATCAGGACCAGATCATCAGGTTCTGGAGATACAGGTAATTAAACAGCTTTATGTCATCTGAGGTTTCCACCTTAACCTCACTGTCATGCTCATTTCTGACATTTTTCTCCTTTTATTCAGCTTACTAATATTGTTTCCAAGAATTCAATAATATTATTATTATTATTTCAAGAATTCAATAATATTATCATTATTGTTTCAAGAATTCAAAAATATTGTTGTTACAACACTGCAATGCTTTACCTTCCGTGTACCAACCCTCCCTTCTTGTTCCTGTCCTCCCTCAAGTCATCTTCAGTGCTAAGAATGTCATTTCTGGAGGATGACAGCTATGTCTTCTACTCAATAATAGCAACACACAAGTGCTATGAACAAGTAAATAGCAATCCTATCAGAAATCAAGGTCTTTTTTGGGGTACAAATCCCTCAAGGTCTGACTAAAGCCTCGGAGAACTCACTGGTAGTTCTTCTGTTGGCTGAGGAGGGGGATGGAGATGAACTGACAAGCCAACCAAGAGCAGGGTAAATTAGCTTGTCCAGAGAAGCTGTGGCTGCCCCATCCCTGGAAGTGTTCCAAGACCAGGTTGGATGGGGCTTGGAGCAAAGGGTTTTTAAGTTGGGAGTCACGAGGCTCTCGCACAACACTGCAAGTTTTGGATGCATTTCAGTCACTTTTGCTGTCTGGATGTGTAAATGCCCATCTCAGGCACAGTCACAGCCTGAATCTCCCCTCTGACAGCACAGGAGCTCTGTGAGAGAGGAGAAGAACACGGAATTTTGATCCTTCCTCAATGTAAGAGATATTTTCCCCCTAATTTACCTCTAGGGTGAGGAGGCACCAGTCTGATGCACTGAAATGCAGATAAGTAGGAGCCAGGAAGCTGTGTTGCATGTATGAGGATTTTCTAGATCATCCTAACTCCCTTTGTGTGCACATTGTCTCAGGGACCTTCAGAGATATTTTATTGCTCATTCTACCATTTCATGATCCTATGACTAGTAAGTGATAAAAGTAACATCATTTGTGGTAGCAGCAAGCAGGAGGCAGCATCACAGAATCCATCTTTAACTTTTTGAATCTGTCCCATGGGACCCCTGCTACAAAATGCCACATTCTTTACTCAGAATGTTTCCATCTTTCTCCCTACATCGTGGCAACATTTTAAAGTCATTTTCATGTGATTCAACTGGGGGCTATTTTTGTCCTTTTTCCCATTAAGAAATTCCTATCTTGTTTATCAATCTTCACTTGAGAAATTGCCTGTGGGCCTGTCAGGCAGACCGATCAGGGAAAGTAAAGACAGAGTGTCTCCGTTATAAGTGTCTGGGGTTAATAACTACAGGAGTTTCAGAGAACGAAATGATTCACAACTGAGTGTGTGATGGGTTCTCAGGGGTTTTGCCAGCCTGGAGAGCCTCCTGCAGCTGCCAAAAATTATCTTCTGTAGCAGTGGGTGAGAATGAAAGAGTACTCACTGGTGAACGCTCTGTGGTTATAAGCCACAGTGCCATTTTTGACCTCAGAGAGAGGCAGGACCGAATGGTAAGAGAGAAAGCCACTCCTTCCGAGTGAGTAAATGCTGAATAACCTGTTCTTAGAATACCAGCTGTGCAGACATTCATATCCCACTGCATGTTGAACCTCTCTGCTGCCCTAATTCCACACCCTGCTCTCAGTCTCTGCCCCTCTGGATTCGTGTCTTGCCAAACACTTCGAAGTGTCTGCAGCTTGTGCTCTCTGGACCCATCACCTCCTCCCTCTCCCTGGAATCTTCAGTTCCCGAATCTCCACAAAGCCACCATGATTTAAGCCTTGCTGCACATAACTTTTGGATTATTCTTTGCCATTTTGTCTTTCTATTTCTTCTCAAGTGCCACCCCAGGCATGGTGGACAACCCAGCCCTCCCAATCAGCTGCTTAAATGAGCACCTGCTGCAGACAAAGGCTAAAATCAGCTGCAACTCAAACTATAGTCATGGAAGTGTAAGGTTGATATGGCTCTTCATTGTTTATTATGCAAACATAAACACCTGGAGCCAATTTTCACCAACTGCCCACTGCTCAGACTCTTTATTATCTGTAAATACAAACACCTGGAGATAATTTTCTGACCACTGCACAGAGTCCATTCAAAGTAATTGGAGACAGCTGTGAAAGCACACACGCTTTTCTATTTGAGGTTTCTCCCCCAGGTGCAGGAGGATGCTCATTTTGGATAAACCGTTGGCTGAATTCCTTATCAGCCTTGCACAAAACCCGAACGATGACTCGAGAGAGCTGTGTCCCTCTGGCTGTGTGAGCATGCAACACAGCCAAGATCTGCTGCAAGGAAAGCAGTTAATTGTGCAAAACACGCCGGATGAGACGTCTGCACTTAAAAGCCATGCAACTTCTGTCACACGCTCGTCTCCTTCTTTTTTTGGATCACTTTGGAGTGTCAGGAACTACCTTGCTATTAGGTTAGGTTCTGGATGATGTGATTGAAATTCACAGTAACTTCTTCATCCCCACGGCTGGAAAGTCAGTATCGTCAGGGGCTTTACACTCCCCTGGGTGAGGCAGATCACTGGCCATGTTTTCCAAAGAGCTCACGTTTTAGGCGATCAGCGTTTAAATACTTCATTTTACTCTCCTCCTCCGTATAAGGGAGGAAAATAAATAAATAAACATTGAATAAATTAATAAAAACAAGAAGAGCCTTGTGCCTTTGCGTCAGGTCCTGGAATTCGCATGTCAGAAGAGAACCGGGGCAAGACCTGCTGGGAGCCAAGTTCTTCTTAAAGAAAAACAAAACAAAACAAAACAACACCACTGCCCGTTTCCTATTTCAGGGGAATTCCAGAGTTATTATTCAGGCACAAAGCATCGTGACCATGCACGCACCAGAAGAGGACGGCGCATCCCGGCCGGCTGTCCCCACCCTCGGGGCCGGGACCTGGACCAGGAGCAGGACGGAGGGGAGCGAATCCCGACCAGCCGCTCCCACCCCGCACGCTCGGGAGGTTCCGGCCCCGTGATGTCCGCGCCCATGGGATGCCGAGGGGGCGGCGGCTCCGCGGAGCCTGGGACGGGATCCCGCAAAGGTGACGGGGCACAGGGAGAGGGGCTGGGCTGGGATCCCATGGCTAGAGCCGGGACACCCCCCCGGGGAGCGGCTGCGCCGTCGGGGATGAGCCGCGGTGCAGCCGCCGGTCCCGGGGCGAGGATGCTCCTCCCTCCAGTCGGTCTCCGGGGAGGATGGTCCCGCTCCCGCCGGTGTCCGGGCTGGAGCGCCCTGCCCTGCGGGCGGGGCTGTTCCCCTCTGCGGTCTCGGCGGCTGGAAAACCCCTGTGCTGGCAGCGAGAGAAGGCCCTGCCTTGGGAGCCGCTCGGGGACTCCTCGCCGCTCGCTGCAGCCTGCAGGGTTGGATGTAAGGCAGGGCAGTGGCGGCTTGGTGTGTCCTTCCCACCTCCAAACGCCTGGAAGGGAGCGGGGAAGAAAAGGAAACCCTGAAAAGCTTTGGGATAAGTTGGGGATGTTTCACGGGAGAAATCTGGAGCTGCAGAGCTGAAGACTTGTCCTGTTTCACTTATCCATGCCACGTTTAGGTATGAGGTCAACAGCAAACTTACCGTCCACCCTCTTTTGTCCCATGCTCATTTCTTTCTCTTTTTTTGATGGCTTGGGAGTGCCAGGAGCTACCTTCCTATAAGGTCGAGTTCTGGATGATGTAATTAAAAATAACTTGGAATTCTTGTTGTTCTAAATGTCACAGACTTCCTATCCTTCAGCTCTGCTCCCAGCCTGCTTTTGGAACAGCTTTATGGGTCCGGGGCTCTACTCCTCTGTAAATTGGTTGTGGGTTTTTTGTTTTATTTTGTTTTTTTTAAATCCTGACATTTATTTTTTCAGGTCTATTCTCCAATATCTGGTTCTGGCGAGCAGTGGCTGGAGTCCTTACTGCTGCTGTCATTTTGGTTTCCTGTATTCAGTTTGGTAAGTCATTTTAAAAGAAAAAATAATTAGTAATAGAAATTACAGAAGTTTTAGGTTGTCAGAATTTCATCAAAACCTTAAGTGGTTTTATTCAGAATTTACCTTATTTCTAAATTAAATAGATGTTCCATGATATTTTCAGCCTGGAGAAGAGAAGCTTTGGGATGACCTCATTGTGGCCTTCCAGGACATGAAGGGAGCCCACAAGAAAGATGGAGAGAGACTATTTCCAAAGGCCTGGAGTGACAGGACATGGGGAATGGCTTCAAACTGACAGAGAGCAGGGTTAGATTGGATATCAGGGAGAAATTGTTCCCTGGGAGGGTGGGCAGGCCCTGGCACAGGTTGCCCAGAGAAGCTGTGGCTGCCCCATCCCTGGCAGTGTCCAAGGCCAGGTTGGATGGGGCTCTGAGCACCCTGGAATAGTGGAAGGTGTCCCTGCCCATTGCAGGGCATTGGAATGAGATGATCTTTAAGTTCCCTTCCAATCCAGGCCATTCTGTGATTCTATATTGGTTAAAAAATACAAGTCAGGTGCTGGAGAAAGGGTTCTACTTGTTGCAGTGGCATTAGGGAGTGCTAATAAGCAAAGCTATTAATTCAGCTGTGAGGAAGCAACACTTGTAAAAAATGTAGTTGTCAGAAATTTTTGTGTTGTAGAAGAGTCCTTGGAGGATACTTTATTCTCCTCTCAGCTACCTTCTACCAACCTGTCCCTGATCATCCCTTTAAAGTATGTCAGGAGCCATAAGGGTGCTGGATCCAGAGTATTTAATTAGTTTGCAATAATTATTTCTGCTGGGCAGAGGTCATAATGCTAAGATTAAACTGAGATCATTTGGGATGATGCAGTCAGAAAGCAAAATAAAACGCTCCGGAGATCTTTTCCCTTTGGAAGAAATAGTTGGATTGTTTTTTGTCTTTTCCCAGTAAACCTTTCCTCAGCCAAAGATTTTCCTGCCTGCCCTTCCCTGGAAGTGTGCCCACCAGGCTGGCTGTATTTCCAGAGGAAATGCTACTACCTGTCGGAGAAAGAAGCCGACTGGAACTCCAGCCAGAGCCACTGCTCTGTGCACAACGCTTCCCTCCTGGTGATCGGGAACCAGCAGGAACTGGTAAGGGAACAAGAGGGGTGTCCTGATTTCAGCCTTTTCAGGAAGTCCCCCACTTCCTGAAGAGAGCTGTTCAGGGCCACAGCCTGCAGAAAACTTCCTGCCTTCTCTCCCTGAAAACAGAAAGTCACTTTTATCAGCTGATTTTTAAAAATGCCTGAGGGCTTATCTGAGTTAAATCTGGTGCTGCTCTCAGCTTTAAGTACTCAAGGCAGCTGTTGGCAGTTGAAGGCAGCTATCAGGGTAAATAAACGTTGTTGCAACTCATTTTTCTCTAATTAACTGTTTTATCATATCAAGATAGGTTAATGACACATGGGTTAGGAGATATCCTAACCACAGTTTGGAGCATCTCTTTCTATATTATACTACAATATCAGGAAAGATTCCGCCCTGCACAAAAAACTAGGGGAATATATTCCTCCATATCTGTTACAAACCTTGATGGCAGTCCTTGATATTTCAAAACAGCCTCTCTCTAGGTCAGTCAACCCTGTCACAGGCACCAGTACTCTGTACATTTAGGTTTTAATATTGTTTCTTCAGAGACCAAGGCAAGATTGATCCAGGGCTAGAAAGCAAAACAACAAGGGCTGTATTTTTGTAGCATGAACTTCTTTTCTCATATGGGTTTATTCCTACAGAGTTTTATGATGAAGATAACAAAGCAAGACCCATGGATTGGACTCTACAAAAGAAACGAAGAGTTCTTTTGGGTAAATGGAAAAGCATTAGACAATGAACTGTAAGTTGATGTTGAGAGGTTTTGCTGGTGGTACTAGATTATAGGGGAGTAAGAAAAGATAACTAATACAGATACAGACAGTGCCTTGAAGGAAATATCTGTAGTTAGGTAGGAGGGATGATTACTGAGAGAGAATGGAATGCAATAAAGATTCCACATAGCATTGATACAAGTGTGAGGGGTGAAAGTTGGGAGATAAATTTGTAGTGTTCAGAAGGAACATAAAACAGGAGCTCATGGCAACCAACAGGATGGCAAAGTGAAATGTAAACCAGGAGACCACCAAAACCCAAAGCAACCAGTGGAGGAATAGAGGGTTACAATAACACAAATTCCTCCTTATAGCATATATTTTGCAAAAGTACAGACCCCCGTGTAACCTGGATGAGGTTTACAGCAAAGAGATTTGGGAGACTTCTAGGAGACGTTTTCACACTTCTTGTAAAATGTTCCTACAAAAAAGGCTGCAGGAGGGAAAGGGGAAGCTGTGAGTTTATGTTGCAGGAGCTGCTGTGTGGTCATGGCCCTGTGTTGTTTCCCCACTGGTGTCAGCCGTGGGGCAGTTTGTTCCTCCCACTGGAAGTCCTTCCCACTTGTTTAATCCCCTGCCTGCAATACAAGCATCCACTGATACTTTCATTGTCAGTGATGAAGTTCTTCCCATTCTTAGACTTCTGCCTCAGTGCTTTGCCTCCCCCTGCCCCTCCTGTCTTTAAGGAGGGCGAACACCTCGATGTGTAAGCTCAGATGTTGTTCCAGTCGTGGGGATTTGTCCCTTGGCTTTTCCAGAGACTGTTCTAGTTGGGTTGGCCCTATCCACAGAACATTTTAGCACTTTGTTTTCAAACAGAGCTGGTGAAGGTGTCTCTCACCTCTTATACAGGGACATCTATAGCGTGGGAACTGAGGCTCACTTCCTGATTTCCACCACCCCCTGAACCACAGTGCCCCATTCTCTTCTGAGGAAGAGAGAAATGAGACAGAGATTTCTTTCACACCTTCTGCTGGAACATTTTAGCTGTCTAGGAGGATGTGGAAGACAAAGCTGGCACCAGTCTTGATAGCACAGCATCCTTGAGAAAGGGAAACCTAAGTTCCAGTCTCTGGTCCAACGGTGTGTTTCGTATTAAGTGATCACTAGACAAGATTCAGGAGCACTACAGGTCCTACATTTTGTATTCTGGGCACAAAGTCCCAGTAAAAAAAAAAGAAAACCCCCATGGTGTTCCCTTCAAACACAAGCTGCCATTCTCCTCCTGGGATGCCTTGCCTGTGGCAAATCGGGCTTTGTTCAAGAGAACCCACAGCTGCCTCTGCTCTGTCCCAATATTTGACCGTGGGTATCAAAGTAATCATGTCTTTCTTTCTCCCTTGCAGCATTGAGGTAAAAGGCTCTGGAAACTGTGCCTATCTTGAGTCAAAGGGAGCCTCAGCCTCTGGATGTTATTTAACCAGGAAATGGGTCTGTAGCTTGACCATTAACTCAGCACGATGAAGGTGGAGGAAGCCGCCCCCTGACACTGTCACCTGTCTGTGATGTGGTGTCTACACAGGCTGTGTCAATGCTCTGGGGCCTGGGAATGTGTCTCAGCTCCTGCCTGGAGGTGAATGACTTTTCTGGTAGCCAGAATTCTCCACCCATGGAGGAAGCCTCTGGATTTAAAGATACCATTTCAAAGGTTCGCTCCAGCACCTTGATAAGTCATTTCCTTGCCCCACTTTTCCAGCTACTGCCCAGCCTGTAGTTTCTTCTTCTTGTGTCATCAGTATTTCTTCCATTAACCCTTCTTCTGGAGGAGCAGCTGCTGGGTTTATGTCCTTTTTGGTGTGCATCTGGAGGTTCTTGTTCTGCTTTTCCCTCTGTGTGCAGGGATGAGGGGACAAAGTGGGACTGCCTGAAGGTCTGCCAGTGCCTCTCACAGACAGGGGACTGCAGGAATAAGCACTGTTGTTTTAGACAGGATCACAGCAGGTTTCCCTCTCCCAGTTCGATGGGAAGCATCCTGTGTGACTCTGCATTGTATTCAATGTTTTGTTAACGTTATTTCACGTTAGCCTTGTTAAATCCCAGTGATCATGCTGATTACCTGAGGATCTGCTCTGAGGGGGGGTTAGAGAGTTTGAACTATTACTTTTAATAGCGAAGCTGCAGGCATTAATGTGTAAAGTTAGAAATAGTTCTCAGTGGGAAGAGGCAAAATCAAGAGAAGAGAAAAAGAGAATTAACAGCGAAGGAAGTTTCTCTGTGGTTTCCTCGTGTCCTGTGCCAGGACAGAGTGTGAGGCTTCCAAACAAGTGGTGCATTTCTGGTTGGATAATCAGTGTTTCCAGAGAAGGAAGAATGGGAAGTTCACCTTCCTTATTTTCTGTGGCAATAGGACTTCACTGTAACAGTATGGATATCGTCACCAACTTGTGACTTTAAGATGTTTATTAATATATAATCACTAATTTTGCTGAACTGCACTTTTTTAATTGCTTGTATTCTTTATAGGCACAGTAACAGGACTCTACAGTGTGAAAAGCCTAATAATCTGTGTATTAACTTATATGTTGTGTTGGGAGGGTGTTATTCTGCAATGGTTTTAAATTAACCTGGCTCTGAGGGATATGGTATGTGCAATAGTCTTGAAAAGATAATAAATAGATGTGCTAGAGGCACTGAGTCAGACTGCTCATAGCATTTTTGTACTCTAGACCTAGAAATAGTGTTTATCCATTCAATACCTAAGTAATGCAATTACTGAGTGCACTCACAGGCATTAATTTCACCACCTCATCATACCTTCCAGGCAGAAACTGTGGTTCCACGTGAAAGGATTTGCAATGTAAAGGGACAAAATAGAGGTGGAGAGGCAGGTTATCCTCTTTATTTCTTTGCTCTATGAAGTTGTCTTAAAATCTAAGCCCCTTCCCTAGGTGAGAATTTGCTTTCAGGTTCCAAGGTTCAGCATCAGAAGAAGATGGGAGCAATCAGCTTATTAACCACAAGTGCTGCAAGTCACTTCGTGTTTGGTCTGCTATCTGCACAAAGCAGCTGGGTAGCAGCTCTCGATAAGGTACTGTCCAGTAAATGTATTTTTTCCAGCCCTTAACTGGCTTCTGTGAGCCCAGTTTGGCTCTAAGGAAAACAAAAACAAAAAAAACCAAACACAACAAAACAAAACAAACTTCAGAAAATACTGAAATGCTGAAACCCAAGCAGCAAGTCCTGGGGTCGGCAGCTGCCTGAGGGACGTGTGTGACAGCAGTGGGATCCGGCACACTTCTCAGCCCCTGCAGATGCCGCTTTTCCTGCACATCACACAGTTCACCTGCACAGTGCTCATTCTCATCCTTCCCCTCTGCCCTCCCCTAGGGGCAGCTGCTTCCAAAGTCTGTCCATGTGAAGGCTCAGCAGCCCCAAAACCCAGAGGTGCCAACTTGCAGTCCTGTGACGTTTCATCGCTGACACCTGACAACTTCTGACTTCTTGGGGAGCACAGGACAGCAAAATTCCACGCAAGTCTCCTTAAAATTATTTACATCACAAGTTGGTTATTCAGTAAAATGGGTCTTCTGACAGAAAGCTCTGCCTGTTGTCTGGAAATTTGGCTCAGAGCTCCAGCAAAGTTGCGTTCTTCTTACAGATCCACTTCTTTAAGGTCTGGCAGTTGTCTGCTTGGATCACATTTTTCCTTCTGTAAACAGCACAGTTCTTGTCAGTCTCAGTTCTCCTTAGATCTGTCCTGCTGAGGGAACAAAAGGAGTGCAGTGAGCTGTCAGGTTTGGACTCAGTACTGAATTCAAAATACTGGTTAAAATCACTGGTGGAATCCTGAGTGAGGGGGTTGGGTGATGCCCTTTTGGTAGCCAGCTTGGAGCACACACAGCAGCCAGGAATAGGTGGGATGGGCAGCCCCAGCAGGGACTGCTGGCTGCTGAGGGATGGGTACTCGGGAGCACGAGGGTAAGGAGGAGGAGGAAAGCTCCACGTGCAGCCACAGTGCTGAAGGACCCTTGGGCTGCACAGATCCCAGCACCCCCCATGGGACAGGCAGCACGTGGGCTGTCAGGTGAGAGAGTCTGTTGACAGATTTCAGCAGGAGAAGTGTGTAATAATGTCTCTCAGCATTAACATATACATGAACTGTGGCTGGGCTTGGCCTTGGAAGCAGAAAACATCTCCAGAAGTGCCCTGCAGGAACCAGCTAACCTGGAACTGGCTGTGGAATAGACTCTGAGCACGTGCCTGAGGCTGCAGGGTTCCATCTGTGCTTTGGGAAGTTAGTCCAGATCCAGGGCTGTATTTCTAAGCAGAGATACCATATCTTTGCTATTGCCAAAGGCAACACCCCACCCCCCTCCAAAATCATCACCTGTTTATTTGTACTCTGTGATCTCCAGCTGAACTCCATCGTTTCTTCTTGTCTTGAGTCTTCATCTCGATCCAGATATATTTGGGATCTTTCTCTTTATTGTCTATGAATTCCTGTGGAAAGAGTAGAAGCCTGTTAACCCACAGAAGAGCTTTCCTGCTGTGTGCAGGTCACTGTCCTGTCTCAGGCACAGCTTTTAGTCCCTCCCATGGAGAGCAAGGGCAGGGATCCAGCCACTGAAAACAAGCATTACAACAGCCCATACACGTGATCAGCCACGGTTTTAATTCAGGCTGATGAGCTTTCTGACAGCTCTCAAACAACAGACAAAAAGGCAGTGATGCCCCTCACCCTAGTGGGACAGATTGCAAACCCTGGTATTTAAGGTAAAAGACCTGTTCCTCGGGGAATTGTGAGTTTCTCAGAACTCTTTGCTGGTACCTTGCTATTCTTTTCCCGAAGGAAAAGGAGAAGGAGGTTTGGCTGTTTGAATTTCCATTTAGTGGTTGAATCAGACCTCTCTTCCCAGAGCCAAGCAACAGAAATGGGTGAAAAGTCCCCAGCATTTCCTCCTCCCAGTCAAAACTACTCTGGTTTGCGTGCTTGGCATCTCTTGTGCTTCTCCTTTTCAGCTCTACTCTGTTGACACTCCCAAAACAAGTTCCTGTTGATAGAGAGATAGATGCTTTGCCCTTGGTGGGGTTCTTGCATGTACACCTGACATGTGATACCTTTTCTCTTGGAGAAATGTTTGGCTGAGGCAGATGCCTGCTGTGTTTCCAGGGCTGCTGCAAGACTCACCATCTCGATTTCATCTTCAACGACAAGAAGCTGGGATTTCCTGGCCAGACACTTTTTCTGGCTGTCATCCCAGCTGCTGGCCTCCTCAGAGAAATAGTAACATCTGCCCCTGTGCAGCTGCCAGCCGGGGGGACAGAGCTCACACGTTGTTCCTGTGGATGGAGAGAGGGGGCCATCAGCTCTGCCGTGACTCGTTCCAGTTGCCTCGTGGCACTTTATGCTCATGTGCCACAGAAGTTGCCAGTCCACACTCCCAAAGGTGCATTTCCTGTGTGTGGAGAGAGGTTTGAAGGCTCCAGTGCCTTGTTCCCTCAGCTTCCCACTCCCGTGCCGTGGTGCCGTGGACATCTGCACCTCCACTGGCACATCCCGGGCTCCCTCTCCACCTCCCGGTGCACCTGCCCAGTGGAGAGCACTGGGAGGACCTGGAGGGCTGCAAAGACACTTTTTGTCCTTCCACACTCATGAAGAGACCCTGTGGGATGTGACAGGATGTGTGGGAGGGGGTGGATTTGACACATGATGTGACCAGGCTCATGAGATGACGTCCAAACCACTGTCCATGAGGCTGGAGAAGGAACTGTGTTCAGTAAGTGTTAAGATGCTTCCCAGGTCAGCTTCCCATTTCATGTAGAACATGTAGGAGGAACATTTCCTGTGTCTTCTGTCTTGGCTTCCTCTGGTGTTTCAAAGGAACAGCAAAGGATCAGCCCTCAGAAAAAAATACCCTCTGGTATTTGCCAAGAAAAAGAAGACCAGGAGGGTCTTCCCCTGCCTGACCCTTGCAAATGGACAGAAAAGCTGAATTCCTCCCCCTGTTTGTGAACCATTGGTGTCTGGAAAGTGTTCTCCAGGCCAAGGGCAGGATCTACAATATATGGTATTTCTGACAGCAGCTCCTGGCAGAGAGAAATGTAAAGAGGAGAAAAACTATTGCCATTAAAATGTAGTTTAGATTCTGTTATCACTTCCCTGCAGGAACACGATGCTCCCTGGGTGGTACCAGTGAGTTCCCATAAACTGCAGGGTGTCAGAGAAACGGGAACAGAGACAACAGAAGTGTGCACACAGCGTGTCCTGAATGCTGTGAGAGGAGTAACTTGGCTCACCCTGCGCATCCTCACACAGTTCCTCCGTGAGCCATTTCAGGAGCACTGCAGGGAAGGTCTTCTCTGAAGAAAAGCTGGTGCTGTTCAGACCATACTGGGACAAACTTTCTGATTTTCCTGCTCTGCCCTTCAAAACTTGAAGAGAGAGAGAAAGAGTGATGAGGGTTAACAACCAGGATAAGGAAATGCAGTCTGTGTACCCAGTGCTGCAGTGTGAATGTGAGGATGTGTCTGTGTGTGTACACTGCTGGTACACACAGTCAGTTATGCACAGACTCAGGGAGTGAGAAAAAGATGCTCATGTGATGGCCTGGGTTGGAAGGGACCTTAAAAACCATTTCATTCCAACCCCTGCCACGGGCAGGGACACCTTCCACTAGCCCAGGTTGCTCAGAGCCCCATCCAACCTGGCCTTGGACACTGCCAGGGATGGGGCAGCCACAGCTTCTCTGGGCAACCTGTGCCAGGGCCTGCCCACCCTCCCAGGGAACAATTTCTCCCTAATATCCATTCTAAAGCTACCTTCTTTCAGTTTGAAGCCATTGTCCTGTCACTCCAGACCCTTGTAAACAGTCTCTTATTTCCCATATTTGTGTACAACTTGACACCTTCAGTGCAATACTGAGGGGATTTTTCTTCCAGCCCATGAGGTTTAACCATGCCTGTGAGGAGGAGACGAAGCAGCTGGCAGGGTCTACTCACATTGCTTGGCTTGTGTGGCTGTGATTCCGAGCAGGACGAGCACGAGGGCTCCCAGGACCAGCGCCACGTAAAACCAGGCTGAGCACCTGTGTGGGGAGCCTGGAGGGAGGCAGGAGGGAGGGCAGGTTAAGGTCTTGACATTATTAAAATGAACACTGCCTGTACATAGGCCAGTTCCTTCTGTGGAAACAGCAGAGGAATCATCTGCCTAAAGTCAGCCTGGTGCTTGAGGAATGCAGGAATATTTTACTTATTAAAAATCCGTGTCCATTGGGCATATGTGAAAGTGAAATCTAAATATCTCGTCAGACCAAGAAAGGGGTTTTCAGTCATTCCATTAAGAATTCTCACTTCCTCCTTGAGTTACTTTTCTTGAGCATTGCCTCCTCCCACCTACCTGTCCACAGCCCACAAGACCCTGCAGAGCAGTTCAGGGAAAGTGTCAGGGATGCTCTGTGGTGTCAGGGATGCTCTGTGGTGTCAGGGTGGTCTGTGGTGTCAGGGATGCTCTGTGGTGTCAGGGATGCTCTGTGGTGTCAGGGGTGGTCTGTGGTGTCAGGGATGGTCTGTGGTGTCAGGGGTGGTCTGAGGTATCAGAGATGCTCTGTGGTGTCAGGGATGCTCTGTGGTGTCAGGGGTGGTCTGTGGTATCAGGGATGGTCTGTGGTGTCAGGGGTGGTCTGTGGTGTCAGGGATGCTCTGTGGTGTCAGGGGTGGTCTGTGGTGTGTTTATCCTCTCTGATCTCAAGTGCCTGCTCTGTGGCTCAAAGCCAACTTCCCTGAGTGCACAGAAAAGGCAAACCCCCATTCTGACACCATGGCACAGGCAACAACCTCTAAGCATCTCTCCAGCTGCTTGGCATTCGTCATCTCGTGAGAGTGAAACCCTCAGGAAGAGGCAGAAGCCGAGGAAATTTGGGGTCAGGGTGTCAGTTCCACCAGACAGAGTTGCACTGTCATCACTTCCCTTTTCCTGACCTTGCCTGCGTGAGATGAGCAACTGCTCCATCCTCTGGCTGCCTGGGATATGAGCTGTAATGTTCCTCTTTCCAGGGGCCTGACCTTGCCTGGCAGGCAAGTCCTTCAGTACAGGAAGGGTGGAAATCATCAGTGCACTGCCAGCACACCGAGAGCTGGGGATTAACCTGCTCCCAAAGCCAAGTGCATCCCTGTGACTCTTTCCTGCAGAGACATTTACAGGAGGGTTCCTAAAAAAATGTGGAATTTTACTTTGCTTTGCTAAATTTTCAATGTAGGACACAAAGGCATTTTTAAAAACGAGATTTGAAATGCCTTTCGACACTGTTTTTACAAGGGAAGTGTGTTGCCTGAGAACCCAGCAGACAAAAACCCACTGGACAAAATGAAAAATCATTTTTTTATGAGAGAGTGAAGGTGAAGACTCTTGATAGAGGGTTTTACTGTTGGGCAATAGGAAAGACTGAATCTATAATAGGAAAGACTAAACCTATAATTAGTAACCAAACAAAAATAGCTAAAATACACTACCAGGAGAGGAAGTCTCTGGTCTGCTGTTGGGTTTCGTCTTCAGGCACAGCTCGGCGTACGTGATGGTGTTTCCTGTGAGGAGCAGAGAAATGCTGACATTTGTGGTTGTGCAGATCATTAAGTGGAGAAACAGCAAAGGATTACGTAGAAGACTGAGTCTGTATGAAAAGGGGGGTGTGTTTCCACAGCTGCTTGTTCAGCTTTTTCTTTTTTTTCTAGGAAACGACAGGCAAGGTGATGATTTATCGTTTCCTGCTGCTGTCAGGAAGTCAAATCCTCCTCCATAATCTTTGAACTACCCAGGTCCTGTGTGGCTGGAGCAGGAGGCAGACTACCAGCCTGGATGGATAAGATCTGGATCCTATCCACAGCAGACATCCCAGCTGCTGCTAAACCATCTCAAAGGGGCTTGAGGGGCACCTGAGCCGCGAGTGCTTTGTGGAGCAGAGAGGTGCCAAAGGGAAAACTGCCACCCAGAGAAATGCTCCTGCAGCAAGGTAATGGATTCCTGGGGCATTCCTGACTCGGGAATGTTTATGCCAGGATATTGCATGGTGCCTGGAAACGCAGGGGAAGGGGCCTGATGGTTGGAGACACGCTTTTCCAGGTGCACATGGCCAAAACAAAACCAAAAAAAAGGCATAAAGGTAGCATGGTGTGGGTCAGATGCCTATGGTTTCTTCCTGAGCATATATTCAATTTTGTTTAGCTGGGTATTTTGCAGTTAGTTTTCATCTTTCCAGAAATGGAGATATTTTATCAAGCTGAATCAAGAATAAGCTTCTGTGCTACTGCCTTTGTTTGTGGTCACTGGGGCTTTCAAAAAGAAGGGCCTCGTGTTGTAAAATCTCACTGATCAGGGAAAAACTTGGCAGAAAAAGAGAATCTCCTTAGGCTAAAATGGGGTGTCATCTGATATGAGAATTGCTGAAGTGTGGAAAGGCTTTACAGCAACAAAAACGCTGAGGACCTGATTGGCAAAAAAGGTTTATTTGTACAGGTGAGATATTCTATGCTTTAGGGAACCTGACCTAATACACTTGGCTGTTTCCTTTGTTTCAGTTTATTAGTTCAATGATCCAACAGAAAATTTGTAAACTATATTTAACTGTTCTCAAAAGCAGATGCCCATGAAAGTTGTTCTTCTTAGAATGTAAATTATTTTCAAAAACCAATCAGGGCTTTTAAACTTTTAAATGCACTGTAAATGGAGACATTTCTAAACTAGTTACTTCAGACAATCTACTACTATTCTACTATCTCTCAAGTAAAGACCTATTCCTTTAAAGAATATCTCTAAGTCTGTAAGAAAAAAATACCCATGCAAGCTGAATATTTAAAAAAAATTATTACTTCTATACCAGTGTGTTTTGGCACATGATTATTTGCATGTGAAGTCCTCAGATGTCAACAGGCAGTTTTAAGATACCACATAGCCTTAATTTTGCAAGAAGCTTCCACACCCTTTACCTAATTCAGCAACAAGGAGCCCTGGTAGTAGGAGGAGATCTCTGCCACTTAGTAAAACTGAAATTTCACTTCATTTCCCTGAGCCAATTGTCAGGTGCAGAAAAACATCTCCACTTAGTGGAAGTTCCTGCTTAGTGGAAGTGCAGGCAGGGAGTGCTCCTGGCAGGTTGTCCACTATGGAACATTATGGGCCACCCCATCCAGGGGGAACTGGGGGAAGCTGGAGAGAGTCCAGCAGGACGCAGACCTGGTGAAGAGGAGGTTAAGGAGAGGAACAAGAAGCTAAAGGGGACAGCTCATAGCAGGCTACAACTGCTTGTAGGCTAGTTTGATGATGGAGTAAACTCTTCTTGGTTTGGCTTTCTGCCAAGGAAAGTTCCAGTCTATCGAGTTTATCCCAGTAGTTTCCCATGAGTGAGCTTTCCTTATCCCTGGACTGCAAACTTTACACATTCCCTGCAACTGTGCCACCAGTGCTTTTTCGTATCTACTCCCTATCCTCAGAATATACACTGAGTGGAGTTTGAGATGAGAACTCCAAGAAACACTGCGTAATTTGACCAAATGAAATCCCTTTCTCAAGGATGGGGAAAAGCTGAAGAAAAGATCTGTAAAGGGACTTTCACTCTCAAATCCAGATTTTACAAATTTAAACCACCTACTCACCTGCTAGAGAACACTGGCAGAAGTTCAGCTCCCTGCATGTTTACCTTTCCTGTCCCTCAGAGCTTGGCAGCAGCTCTACCTTAGCAGAACAAAGCTGTGCCCCCTGCCCGTGTTTTTTAGTATCTACTCCAGTAAATTGACTCTAATGATCTGAAAGTTGCCCAGAATGCAGCCAGGAGGAGGTGGGCACGCTCCACTTTCCGAGATATTTGAAGTCCTGCCTAAAGTCTGGGAATCTGCCACTCAGGATGTTCACCTGCTGAATTTTCTGTAGTGGTTAAATTAAACCTCCTTAGCAGTGAGAGTTTGAACCAGGTAGTGCCTTCCCTCAAGGTGCTTCTTTTTCTGCAAGGCAGTCAGTCTGCCTGAGGGAAAGACTGGGATAAAATCTGGGAAAGGGAGGGATGTGGCTTCTAGCCATCCTCAGTGGGCATTTCAACAGGTCCCAGGGTCAGGATATTGCCAAGGGACACACTGTGACATTTGCCACAAGGAGCTCCATCGCCTTGGAGCTGAGACCCTCACTTGGAGAACCAGCTTCAGATTCCTGCTCCGAACTATTTTAATAGCAACAAACCCCTTGTTGGTACATGCTGATCATGAGGACAGAGAAATAATTGTCATCAAGTATTTCCAGCATGTTCTATATTGATATGAGCTCCAGTACTGCTCAGTGCTATCTGGTGCTTGTTCTGTTTGTGCCAAAGTGAGCAGAAATATAATTGCTAATGAAATCTGTAAGTAACAGAAAGGTTAACAAAGCAATAAATAAAGGCAGCCCTGTAAGTTCAAGCCCAGTCAATCAGTTATAAGAGTGAGGGAAGGTGATACTGGGAGTTATAAACAGTGAAGAAAAGATTATTTCAGGGATTTGTGTCCCTATATAACTTTAAGACAGCATAACCAAGACCTGTAGTAATTCTGGGTGGATCTCTGGCACCCATGTTTTTAAAGGAGATGGAAACACTGGAGTATGAACAGAAAAGCATCCACACAAATAATTAGCATTTTTGAGAAGTTAAATATTTAAAAGCAAAAGGACACTGAGAAGTTACTTGATTTTTCTGTCAGTGACTTCATGTGAGAAAATACTGAGAGTTAAAATCTGTCTGACAAACGTTTAACAAGAACCATCCAGATATTAATGAAAAATTTCAATGGAAATTAAAGCTTGCCCTGCTCAGATTCAATCCCTTCCTTTAGACAGCATGATTAAGGGATGTTTTGGGATGTCTTCAAATCAAGATTTGATGTCTGCCTCTCTTTACAAACAAATTATGTCAGTTTAGATACTGGGCAAAATTCTGGGCAAACCCTCTGTGCTTTATATTGCACAGGCTACCATATCAGTACAAACAATATCCATGGATGCAGGAACATACAGTCTAAGGTAGGAGTTCCTATTTTATATATTATTTATATATAATACAATGAAACAAAAATATAATTTTTATTTTTTAGAGACAAGTCTTGGAAAAATATATTTAAAATATCATTTTCTGTCATTTAAGTGCATGTATTTAGAGCACCATCATCACTATTCATCTACATTGTAACTAGAACATCTAAAAATGCTCATTACACAATGTTGTTTCCTTAAATGATTAAATACATGAAGTACTAATGAGCCTTGAAAGCGTGAAAATACGCTCTTAGTCTGATACTACAAACATTTTCTGTTTTCTTATAGTGAGAAGTTGTCATTCATATTTGCTGTGATCCAGAATTTTATCCAAATGTTTTCATGAATGAATTTATTTTTTTTTCCAAGTAGTAGAAATGTTACTTCTAAAAAAAATTATTGTTTAAATCATCTCCTTACCCTGAATGTTGACTTAATTTGTTTCAAATATATGAAGGGATCACAGACTGATAATTTGGTTCTGGAAGAATCGCTATTGGAAAATTAAAGACAAAGAGCAGGAAGGTTTTAGGATTCATTCAGTACTTCCTTCAGTGACAGTGACTGCCCTAGTTTTCTGATTTACTAATTAATTTAACACTCCTTTCCCATGAATTCTTCACTGATCTGATTTTTGGACTAGGTAGTAATTCGGTGGAGCGTTGTCTTGATCATGTTGTTCATTTAAAAAGAAATATTATGCCCATTGTTCAAAAATGAACACTTTTTCTTCCTCATTCTGTTCCTTAAAACGAGGCACCAGATCTGAGCCGCTGCTCCTCAGTGGTTCTGGCTCAGGAGCAGCTTTGCTGACCTGCACCTCGGGAGGATTTCTCCCACTGTATCCAACTTTTCACGCTCCCCATCCTTCTGCACGCAGCACCTTGTAACATTCTTCTAGTTTTATTCAGTGACAGTGCTGGGTATGAAAGAGAGAGAGGCAGAGAGAGCGTGTGAGAGCAGAGTGCCCAGCCAGGAGGGGATGAGGAGTTTTACCTGGAGCTGGTGTCCCAGAGGGAACGTGTGCTCCTTCCCTCGGCAGCATTGCCACGTCCGCGTAGGTGACATCCCCTGCCATCGATGAGCCAGTCCCTCCGAGCTATGGAAAGAGCAGCTTTAATGCAGTGGGTTGCATCCTGTGTCAGCCTTGCCTGCCTCCAGAAGTCACATACACCGTGCTATGGCTCTGAGGATGGCTGAGAAACATCAAAAAAGGAAGGAAGTTACTCCTTTCAGTGCAGCTTCAAAGCCTATTTGCAGCCATTCTGCCTCTTCTTGTGTGGTCTCCTGCCCTTCAGAACACAGGAGAAAACAAAGATTAAACCCCATTCTTTTTAATAATATATATTAAAAAAAAAAATCTTTTTGCTGGAAGCAGAGTGAAGTTCCTAAGGAATAATCAAAAATGGGCTTTCCCAGGTCCAGCAGATTTGCTGCTTCTCGTGAGAAGAGCTAAAGCAGTACAATCCATGTTGTGCTGGATTATCCTCATGTCCATGACCTTACACAGCCTATTCACCTAAAAGGAAGATAAATAAGATATAAATCAGTATCAGATGTTTTGGGGTTGATGGAACTGCAACCACACAGCTATAAAAATGTAATTCCGATTCTGACCTGCTCCACCCACAAAGCACTTGAATGGCTTCACGACTGGATTTAGATGGTATTGATGAGGTATTAAAATTAACTCAAAATAAAATTAAAAGTAATATAATTGGTGCTTTTTACAACGTTTCAATACTTTACTGTCATAGTAGCTCCTAAGCTGCTTGAGCTATTCTCTGCTTGACCCAGCAGCTCCTCAGGCAGAAAACCTGAGTTGCCTTTAACTCCTTATTCATGACCCACCTGTTTGCTGCAGGATATTTTGATGACAGGGTTTTTTCTCTTCTATTTGGGGCTGGTGGGGTGAGGCAAACCTCACAGGTTTTAACTGAAACTTAAAGAAGACCTTCTTAAACCTACAAATTCATTTCAGAGCACACAGCTGTGTTGGTGCACTGTCCTGACATTTCCTGTTGAAATGGTTTTGTGCCTTATTCCCACTTAGGAAATTCCCTCAGAGTTCAACAAACAAACCTACAAACCTACATGGGTCAATTGAAAGCAATGCTTTTATTCTGTGATAGAGCCTTTCAGCAGTTTTTCTTACATTCAACGGGACTTAAAATGAAAAGGAAAAAAAAAATAAAGTTTGGATTTGTAATCTTACATTACTGATCTTTTTCCCTTCTGATGTTCAACACTGGTAACAGTGTTAAGTGCAGTAACAAAGAGGGGAAAAAAGAACCTTTGACAGTCATGGAACAGATTACTCAGAAGTGCTGCTCAAGTATTATTTATATGCTAGGTATCTAAATCCTTATTTATACCCACTGATAAACCGACACTGTGAGCTGGATACCAATGAGGTTTGATCCGTGGACACCCACATGGCAGCCCTATCACCAACCCCAACGTGAAACAAAACTTGTCCTCTGATTGAATCAGTTTCCATCACTTCCCCTGAACCTCTCACCGTCCTCTACAGCAGGATATTTATTAGGCCTGAAATGGAAAAAACCCCAACAAAACCAAAAACAACCAAAGCAAAAAATAACCGCAAACCAAACCCCACTTTCCTTATTGGGAGTTTTTTTAAACTTTGGTCCATAAAGGAGAACCAGAAGGCTTGCTTGAACTCTTGGGCTCTCTTTCCATCACTTCACATACACTTAAGCAACCTTTTCTCAAGTAAGCCCCTCCTAAATTAGTCCAAATCATCAAGATGTGACCATGTATGGTCAGGGTACACACAGGTCTTCGTGAATGAGTGGAAAAAAGCAGTGTTTCTATTTTAAGGGAACATATCTTCCCCTCTCCTCTGAAAAACACACTTTCAGACAGAAGGGCAAACTCACTAAGTGTGCAGTGCAGACCAGGCAGCTGCATCCTCTCTGCCTGAGCAGATTCTCACTTGCCTGAAGAAAATTAGGAATACACAGAGTTATTTTCCAGAGCAAACTTCCAAACAACCATAAGCAGTTCTCATTTGGGATTTGAAGCCCACATGCTGTGCTCACAGCTGGGACAGACAATGAAAAGGAAGGTGAATTTTAATTTTTAGAAGGAATAGACAAGTAGATGCCTTTGCAAGACATTTTTCTTAAATTCTTTCTTTCCTATTGGAAAGCTGTCTTCTTTTTTCTCCCTTTTAAAACCTACAGTGCACTGCCACAGCATTTTCATTTGCTACCTATTTTCTTTAGTGTTAATAGTTTTAGCTCTGTTAGTACTTTAATTAATTTCTATTGTTTTCATTTTGAATTCAGTCATTCAAATAGAGCAAACCCATGAATTCACCAAGATAAAGGAAAAAAAGAGAGTAGTCCTTTTTGTTACAGTATTTTGAAGTATCTGGGAGTTTGACATCATTCCATAGCAAGGATTGATTGTTTTTTATTCCTGGGCAGCAACACTGTCCTGGAACAGTGAGTACCCTACAAATGTATGGCAAGACAGTGATTTTACCATGTTAAAGTTTATTAGAGAATTCACCAAAAAAAGATATGCCAAAGAGATGGATCCAGAAGGAAAACTGAGGCGCATGGAGGACATAAGAAGGTTAAACCAAAACCTCCTGAGTTATTACTGAGGGTTTAGTGCCACACAAGCAGAGAGCGGCTTTGGGGAAGCACCAGGGGAAGTTCAAGGAGTGCAGCGTGTTCCACCTGTGGCAGAGCTGGAAAAAAAGAACACAGAGCTGTTTATGAAATAAGTTTGTCAATTAAGTTGAGCTCAAGGCTGTTTGCAGGTTGGCAGTAGAAACTGATACCAACACTGAGGGCAGAAGGTGAGAGACAATCACAAGCCTTGAAAATGCACATCACTGCTTAAACAGAAGGGTGAAGCAGTTTGGTCCCAAAGACCAAGCCAGTGGAGCAGTCCAGGAAAATGCAGGCATGCTTACATTTAAACATAATGTTTCCATGGAATTTTCTGAGCATGGGTATTTTCTGAGTACCTACGTTTGGTGTGCGTTGTGTTTGTGTTTTTTAGAGATCACAAACCTAGTTCCTCTTGTTTTTTCGCACATTCAGAGAACTGGCTTTGTTCTTTCACCTTGCTTCTTGTTATTCAAACAGACTTCTCGCTTCAAATTATTTTATTTCACCAGAAAGAAAACTTCAAAGCCACTTACATGCAAATATAAAAATGCTATAGCGCTTCCTTTTCTTCTGTGAAGGCCAGTATATGTTTTAACTGAAAAAAAAAAAAAAAGGGGGCCATTCTGGGAAATGCAAATGAGCATCCCCTCCTGGCAACATGGCACTGTCAATTCAAGCCAAAAACATTTGTGTTTTTTCTTTATTTCAGAAGGCTATTCATGTTCCTTCTACCGAGATGATAGATCCAGAGGATGATGGCAGAGCTAAACAACCAGGCACAAAGGGCTGTGAACAGCAAGAAGACAGACTAGGAAAAGGCAGGTGTGGAAATTAAGCAAAAGGAGAGGACTATAATGTCTCTTAAGTTGAATGTGAAAACATAATAAAACAAACAAACAAACAAACAAAAAACCACAACAAAACCAACCAAACAAAAAAGAGAGACTGAGGAGCAGCTTGCAAGCAATATTAAAAAAAAACCCACCTCCCCTTCTTCAGGAGCAGGGAACCTGCCAGTAGGTCTGTAAGATAATCAATTTATGAATAAGATAATCAATTTATGAATAAGGGGTAAAAAAAACCAGTGGTTTTTTGTACGTGTTTGCTGTGGAGGAACCTGGGGAGGTTCCCATACTGGAATCTTCTTGGGCAGCACATGAGAGCCTGTGTCTCAATGAATGTCAGTGAAAGAGGTTGTGAAACAACCCATGTAAATTAGGGGACCCGAATGGCTGAGGTCAGACGGGCTCCCAATGATTTTTGAGTGCTCTTGGGAATGTGGAGAGGTCCCAGCTGACTGGAAGCTGCCAAACATCCCAATTTTTGAGGAAGGCAAGAAGGTTGACCCTGGAAACTACAGGCTGTCAGTCTCACTTCAGTGCCTGGTGAAGTTGTGGAGAGGATTGCTCTGGGAAATATTGAACAACACCTGAAAGATAATGCAGTCACTGGTCACAACCAGCACAGCTTCACCAGGGGAAAGTCCTGCTGACCAAACCTGATTTCCTTTTAGGACAAGGTGACCCACCTGGCTGATCAAGGGAAGCCAGCTGATGTGATCTTTCTGGATTTCAGTAAAGCTCTGGATACTGTCTCTCACAGGATCCTTCTGGATGAAATGCCCATTCCATAGCTGGATAAACTCATCATGTGTTTATCAGAAATGCAGCTCATAAAGCTGGTTGGGAACTACTTTTTTAAGAGAGGGAACTTTCCACAGACACTTCCAAAATTACCCTTTTCCCCTTCAAATTCAATTACTTTGGCCATTAGCTGAAGTCTCAAGAAGTGTGATGTCTTTGCATTTTATCCCCGCTGCCACAAACACAAGAGAGCTCCCCAGAATTTGAGTTACTGGGGTTATCACGTAGAATAAAGCTTCACATAGGAATTCCCAAATCCTCTGCTGAGAGTCACAATCTTTTCCCAGTGTAAGTCTCGCTGCTCATTGGATTATGATGTTTGCACCTGTTCTTTGAAATTCAGCAGCTCTATTAAGCTAGGAAGCCAGACCCCAATTTCTAGATGCTGTAATGTTCTGTTAGGTCACTGATGCCTCCCACAAACGATAAAAGTCACATGGAAATCCTGAACCCCGAGAGCTCAGAGTTTGGGTCACACAACTGGTGGAGATCTTTTTGCAAACGTTTAGGCTTCGTGTCCAAGGAATCTCTTTACGTGCCTAAAAGAAACAATGGTTTTAGCAAATCTGAGCGGTTTGTGATCACAAACACAAGCATGTGTTGGGGAAACGAACCTGTTTGACTCTCAAGTGTAACAGCATCTACTTTGGTAAACGTTTTAATGGCGGTGTGAACATCTCCAAGGCGCAACATGTAAGAAAACCCCACACCTCTCAAAATTCCTCTTCAAAACAGGCGTCGTGTAAATGAAGATCAAAATTCCTGTAAGTGGCATTGACAGTGTGCAAAGAAGCAGGAAGCTACCTAGAGATTTTATGATACAGATCAAAGGACATTAAAGGTGCTTTAATAGAATGTAGATGCTCTCACACAGTCAGAACAGAAATAAGAGGGAACAAATTCTGCAGATCTTTCAAATTACCAGTTCCCGTGGCAGGTCTTATCAGGTAACAGATATTCACAAGCTCAAAACCATCCTCATCTGCAGCACCATGGTCACAAGGCACTTTTTCCACCCCTTGCTCTGTCTTTGGATTTCTTCTGCAACTTTCACCTTAATTTTACCTTGTTCAAAGCAGCCAGGAGTAAAGTGCTATGGTACAGAATCATAGAATGGTTTGGCTTGGAAAGGACCTTAAAGATCATCTCTTTCCAACCCCCTGCCATGGGCAGGGACACCTTCCACCAGCACAGGTTGCTCAGAGCCCCATCCAACCTGGCCTTGGACACTGCCAGGGATGGGGCAGCCACAGCTTCTCTGGGCAACCTGTGCCAGGGCCTGCCCACCCTCCCAGGGAAGGATTTCTCCCTGATATCCAACATAAATCTATTCTTTATCAGTTTGAAGCCATTCCCCCTTGTCCTGTCACCACGTGCCCTTGTGAAAAGTCCCTCTCCATCTTTCTTGTGGACTCCCATCAGGCACTGGAAGGCTGCTGTGAGGTCTCCACACAACATTCCCTTCTTCAAACTGAACAACCCCATTTTTCTCATCCTGTCTTTGTAGGAGAGGTGCTCCAGCCCCTGAAGCATCTTTGTGACCTCCTCTGGGCCATGACCTGTGGAGCACCCAGGCTCATTTCCTAAGCAAGTCCTTGTAAAGCTTTCTCCCTGGGAAATAGGTCCACATTTAGTCACCGCCTCCTATCTGTGGGTGATTTTAAGAAAAAGAATGCAAATAGTGCCTGAGAAGGCTTTTAGATGACCTGATTTGAGCCACCAGCAAATGCCACTGTGGTTTCAGCAACCTTTAAGCCTCTGAGTAATGTGAAAATGGGTGCTGCAGGAAGTGGAGGTAAAGTCTGCAGATGGGCACCTTCTGTTCCCTCCTTGCCAGGGCTGAGATGAGCTCTGCTTGTCACCTCCGTGGCCTTCCAGCTGTACCAGGGCTGGCTGGCAGATTCACTGGGACAGAGGTGAAGCCTTGAGAGTGAGGATTAACAATGTCTGTGATGCTGGTAAATCACCCCCCTCTTCTCCTTCCTCAGAATTTCCATTTGCAGCCCTTACCATGTCACAGTCAGGGCAAGTTCTTTAACCTGCAATTTATTTGCAGTTGGTGCTCTCCTTGTTGCAGGAGGAATCCCTGCAAAGGGGATGGGAAGACTTAATTTGAATGACTGGGGACTTTGAGATTGATGCCTCTCAGAAGTGTCACCTGTTTTTTAGGTTTCATGGCTGGAAAATATCTGGAATGGGATATTTGCAAGAAGGAAGGGACCTGTTAAATGAGTTTTTATGCATTTAGCAAATGAACCCTAGAAAAATGACAATTCTGCTGACCTTCAACAATCACTCACGAGTAAACATTTAGACCTTCCCACCTCTGTCCAGCAGTGTCTGAACCAGTGACTGCAGTGCTTGTTTATTTAACACAGTGTGCCTGTGACACTGCTGCTGTATCAGCCACTCTTGGGTAATTCCCTCCCTCTGTAGCTTTCTGTGTACAGGTGTTACATGTCCTCAAGTAACACCTGATTCTGAACAGCAATTTCAGAACAGAAGGAGGGTGACTGTGTGCAAATATCACTGACTGGCAAAACAGCTGCTTGTGCTGCCTGGAACCTGCTGATCTCAAGGGAAACCTTTCTTGTAACAATGAAAGTGCTCCCTGAAAACTGCCAGCGTGGGGAAGGTCTTTGGTAACAGAAAACAGCTTAGTTCAACCTAGAAAAACACAGTCCAAAATCTGTAGTTGTACTTGGGTGCAGTTTATTCAAGTTTATTGATCACCTTTTTGCCTCAGAATCCCAGAGGGAACATCCAAGGCAAAACAGCCAAGAGCCCCAAACTGCCTCCCTCTCAAATTGCCTCTTCCCAGGAACTCACTAAGGGAGCTCTCCACACTGTGAGTTTTTCAGACTCATTGCATTCCTCTTGGTATTCTGTTTGTACCAAAATTAATTATTTACATGAGTCATAAACGACCTGCACAGCTTTTGAAATGCAGAGTCCTGATTTCATTGGCACCAGTGGAAAGCAGAGACAACTCAGTGCAGTTGCCTCTGGAAGCTCTTGGGTGTGAAGCTGGGACTGCTCCAGGAGCAGTGTCCCTCCAGAGAGCTCTTTCCCAGAGGGTTCACATCTGGTGTTTCCTGTCGTTAATGGAACACCATCCTTACCTGAGCCAGCCAGGCTTTCATTGACTGCAACGGAAAGACAACAACCCCTGAAAAAAAATTGGGGACTTTATTCACTGTAGAATTACAACTTTTATATCTTTTCATTCCCTAATGTGCCAATAATGCCAGATCAAAATTATACAATCAAACATAAGTTATCCCAGCTCGCCTATGGTAGTTCAGGTGAGCTGAGCAAGGGGCAGATCAGAATTCCACAGTTTGCCTCTTTAGGCCCTTATCCAACCTAAGGTATGGTGGAATACGAGTCAGAAAAAGAACAGAACAAACTGTTATGATGTTTCCTGCAAGAATAACACAGCTTTCACTTTGTTTATCCAAAATTTCATGAACAAATTTTCACAGGAAATAGGTCTGAAGTACCCCTGCTTCCAGTGGGATTTCACAACCACTCTGAGTTTATTTAATGCATCATAAAATCTTTAAAATGAAAGCTTTCTGAGCATTGTGCATAAAATACTGCATTAATTTGTTTGGCCAAAGGCAGATGATTATTAATTTCAACCCAGCACCCCATGGTTGTTATTGATGCTGTTTATGGCATACACTGTAGATGGATCTGCTCAGACTTAGGGAGACCTTCAAATGTATGAAATCAGGTTGTCACAGGAAATCTCACCTTAAGCTTTCCCCTGGTAACCACAGAAAAACAATAATATTGTGTGTCTAGTCTCCCAGGCAGACTGTGAATCCCCTCAAAACATACTTTCCACTCCTGGGCTGTTGCTGCCCTTACAAAGAATGAACAGAACCTGGTAAGACACTAAAGAGAGTGAAAGGAAAATACTATTTTAATGCCATTCTCAGTGGCTGTTGTTTTGCTAGTTCAGCTCTAGTCAGCTCATCAGTTCATGCTCAGAAACTGAAAACTCAAAATGATACAATGACCTATGTCCATGGAGATTTATATATGTAAGTTATGTGCTTGTTTTGGACGTAAATGATATGAATTTTTTCTCCACAGTGAAGAGTTCAAAACCATGAAAAAACCAAAAGGCTTTCCACAGATTGCCCCCTTTCTACTCTGCCCCAGTGCAGGGATAACAACCTGCTATTATCTATTTCAGGGAGGTGAAATGCTGGATTTTTTAGCCTAAGCCAGGGGATTTCCTTTAACTAGGGGTTTGTAGCGGAGTGACCCTGGCTGGGTGCCAGGCACCCACCAAAGCTGCTCCATCACTCCCCTCTGCAACTGGGCAGGGGAGAGAAAATATAGCAAAGAATTCCTGGGTTGAGACAAGGGCAGGGACAGATCCCTCACTGAGTACCATCATGGGCAAAACAGACTCGATTTGGGGATATTAACTGAATTTATTGCTAAAAAAAAAGTCAGAGCAGGGTAATGAGTAGTAAAATAAATCTTAAAAAGACCTTCCCCCCCACTCCTCCCTCCTTCCCAAGTTCCCCCTCCTCCCCTCCCAGCAGCGCAGGCAGATGGGAACAGGGGAATTCTGTTCCCTGTAGGGCCCCTCCCATGGGAGAAAGTTCTTTTCCAGTGTGAGTCCCTCTCTTCCACGGGGTCACTCCTGATGGGCTCAGCCTTGGCCAGTGGCAGGTCGGTCCTGGAGCTGTATGGAATTGGCTCTGTTGGACAAGGAAGAAACTTCCAGCAGCTTCTCACAGAAACCACCCCAGAAGCCCCTCCTGCTACCAAAACCTGCTATCTTCATTTACAACCTTTATCTTCCAGGCTTCTTTCTCCTTCACACTCCACCTGTCTCTGACAAGTCACTTTATGCAACTCCTGCTCCTTCTAAACCATGTGCAGTAAGGTGCAGTAGAGACATCTAGTGCCTATTTCTTGTAATTTAAAAGCAAAGGATTAATGTAAGAGGGGAAAAAAACCTTCTTCCTAACCCTTGAAATTCCCTTTACATGCTCGCCTCAAATCCACTGACAAAATAATTTTGCCGGTTCTGGGCTAATTAATACACAAGATGGAAAACAGTGATCAAACATCACTGGCCCCTGTGCCTCCACAGCTTGGTGTTTAGGTACCAAAACAAATCCCTTCCTCATCTTATTTTGCTGAAGAATCTTCCTCAGAACATCTTGGCTGCAAAATCAAGCAACAAATGTCTTTTCCAACTGAATTACCACCTACCAGCTAAGGGAAGGGTAGGATGCTGGAATTAGAAGGGGATGGATTTTGCAGCAGGAATAGGGCTGGAATTAGGTGATCTTTAAGGTCCCTTCCAACCCAAACCATTCTAGAATTCCATGTTCCTTTGAACAGAAATTCTTCAACCCTGAGATCTTCTGCTGACAAAATCTAAGCTGTTCATTAACTTCTGCTTTCCAGTTAGTAAAGAGAAATGGGAACCTCCATGGTCCTGTCACCTTCTCCTGAAAGGTCAGAGGAATGGTCCCTGAATGTCCCCGAGGGAGCAGCTGAAGGAGGCAGCAGCAGCAAGGTGTGTCCTCCGTTCCTGCAGTGTCCCAGGCTGCTGCTGAAGGACCTGGCTCCAAGGTAAGAGCTTTGCATGTGACCACTCCCTCAGTTCTGTCAAGTGCATAAAATAATGAAGATCAACCTGATGGTGCTTGTCTGCCTTGCCAGAAACCTCCTGTCTCAAGAGGAGGACTCCTGAGCCATGAACGTGAGCCAGCCCGTTCTTGATGGGCCAGAGCTACTGAAAATGCCCTCAGCATGCAAATTCTTCCACTCCCTGGAGCCTGCCCAAGGATGGCGTGATGTCAAATGCAAAAACTCACCTGCAACCATCTCGAGTTCCAAACAAAAATCAGATGTGGGCTGAAGGCTCCAGTTTATGAGAAAGGTGATCAAAATCAGAGCTCTGCTGTTTTTAACAGAACATACACCATGAGAAGGGAATTGAGAATGAAGAACTGCTTGCCAAAAGCTACAAGGCGAGAATTCACATTTGAAAAAAGAAAAAAAAAAAAAAAAAAGGGTTCTGGTTTCCTTCCGTTTTACAGACACCCAAACAGTTGTTTTGACCTCATGTGGTGTGGTGGAAAGCGGCCAGAAATAGGGGATGGCACTTCAGTGAGTCCATTTTGATTGCAGGTCTGAAAGCAGCTCTTCAAAATGGCAAGTGAGGTGGTTTATGCCGAGGTACCACCCAAGGAAAGAGCACATTTCGCTTCAGAAACTTCAGATGCAGGTAAAAAAAAAAAAGAATGGAATCATGTTAATAATATTGATAACATTAATAACTTAATGTGACTTCATTCTCCCTCTGCTCGATGCCACGTTCTTAAAGCTTTCATTCTTTTCTTAGACCATTCAGAAGCCATGCTGAAAGCATTTTGATAACTATTGATAGCCTCCTCTGTCTATTGCATATCTGTTTGCTTGGCAAATTCATATTTATTAACAGAATAAAGACGGAATTCTAGCTAAAGTGAAGACTGACCCTTAAAATCCCATTCTGGGTTTCAGTAGTACGGCTGAAATGTGCTGTTTCTGGGAAAAAATTGATGTTCAGACATTGAAGACATTTACACAGATTACTGGAAACTCATTGACAGCTGAATGGACTCCTCTCTCCTGCAGTGCATTTGTATTTTATATCTTAGTTTGTTTCACTTTCTTAGGCACCAGAAATAGTTTTAAATTCTAAAATGAGAGGTCTGTTTCTATTTCTTCCTCTCTTTCTTTCTTTCTTTCTTTCTCTCTCTCTCTCTCTTTCTCTCTTTATCTGTCTCTGTCCCCCTCTTTCATTTCTAAAAGTTCTACGGTGAGAAAACTGCAAGTCAAGATTTAATAGAAGTTTCTGTACTTTTGAAAACTGTTAACCCTCCAATTTGTGTATGACCTGCTGATATCTTCAGCTGTAAAACTCATTACTTAAAAAACTTATTTTCAAGTAATAAAGTGCAAAATACAGCTGTTAATGGATAAAGGCAGGAAATAATTCATGTTTTTAAAACATATATTTCACCAGTATGAGGTGCTTGGAAATTCAACATCTAAAAAAATTTCGTGGGCAGTTATGAGGCTAAATAAGTAACCAAATTCCATGCAATGTATTTTTCTTATGCTTTAGAGTAGGACAGCATGGTGTTTTGAAAAAAAATCTTTTCAGTTGCAATAGTTAAATATCACCAATTCCTGTCACTTCTCTTAATCTTGCATCCCTTTTGGTGTCCTAATAAATACTTTGTTTTAATATCATCCTAAAACACTGCCTTCCACAGACTGTTTATAATATCTTCCATGAAGAAATACTTTGAATTGATCCTGGATATGACACCTATTAACAGCATCAGCGTGTCCTACTGAGACATAGTGAAAAACCCTCATCTATCTATATAATTAATATTTATTCACATTCTTATATTTATAAAAATTTCCATTATCCATTCTTACAACCTCTCTCTTCGATTTCTGTGTGTGTTCCATTGCTTTCATACTCGAGAGCACCAGTGCAGCAAACTGAGCCCTCATTTTCGGCCGAACTCTGTTAAACTGATCTGACTCCCTGGCAGCTGCACGGGAAAGATGCTTAGTTCTAAAAGAATGGGTTAGATTCCACATTTCTTGTAAGTCTAAGGTAGATCTCAGCAGCCCTGGCACCCTAGGAGGTTGCTTTCCTTCGGGTAAATTGCTATTACAGAGTGTTCAGAGGGATGTTACCTATCACCCACCTGCCTGAAAAAGCTCAGGAGACCTTGCTGTCTTAATCCATACATACCTGACATCAGGTCATTGATACAGCAAGGCTGAATTTGCTCCATTGAGACAAAAATAATAACCTAGGCCATAAGAAAAAGGGGGGATGCTCATGCTGCCCTGCCTGTGAGCATTTTTTTGTTACACACTTCAATGTTTGTGCTGCCTCACCTGATTTCGTGGCTCTAAGTTTGCTCTTTTTCCCCACAGCCACTACACTTGCCCACTAGTCAGTCTGCAACCTGCTTCTCCTCTGCCTTCAGCTTCTGCTTTCTTGTCTTTTTACGTGAGGAGGGCAGACCTTTTGACCTCCAGGCCTGGACGTGTCCCACGTTTTGCATCGCTGAAGTTTGCATTTGCTCGTCCTCCCCGTGCCACTTCAGAGATGAATCTGTTTGGTTTCTCTCTTAAGATTAAAAAAAACCAAACAACAACATATTTCATACATTATCAGCAAGCAAATTTGATGGAAGAAGCTCCTGGGAAATGAGGTAAAACATGCAAAGCAGGCAACCTCCTAGGCGGTGTTTTGCAGTAGATATAAAAATATAACTCCTTCGTTCCTTCTGCTGCCACACCTACCGAAAACTGCTGTGAAACACATCTTGTCACTCACCTCTTTCCCTCTCCCTCCTGCTCTGACGTTCATCCTTGGATTTGTCATCACCCAGTGGAGTGTCACAGGGCAGTTCACCATCCCATTACACCTGCAGTCATCTTTCCACTTGTGCCTCTTCCCACGAGCCTTCCTGATGGCACAAAATTGCTGAGTTGGGCCAGTGGTCCTGCAGACATCCCCGGGGCAGTGAGATGCCCTCTGGGCACCCCTTTCAGTGTATGAATTTGAAAGCACTGCCTGTGTGATGCAGCTCAGCTAAATAACAGGGGTCAGGTACCTAAATATCATCTTTACCTTCCTTGGGCTTTGCATCCAGGAGTGTCCCAACCATCCCAGTGGGTACTGGGCCATAGGAGGGTTTTCTACTCACTGACCACCAGATAGGGAATGGGGACATCTCTGCCCTGTCACATTTGAAAGCCTATATATTTGTAAGACTATAGAAAGTTCTGGAGTGCTTCCACAGGCCCCATGCATGGAAAGCAGCAGCTGGAGGAAGATCATGTGGTGACCAGCCATTAATAAAAATCTCATTTAAACACGTGGAGGGGTGAAACTGAGGAAGAAAAACCCGTGGGTGAAATGAAAATAGTGTGTTTATATTTTACACACATATTAAAATTACATTTCATTCATTAGGGATGGGGAAATTGCCTGTCTTTGCTCTGTGCACATGCTTTGTTCCAACAGGAGTTGTGCTCCTCCCTGTGAAAGAGGAAGCAAGACAAAAGGACATGTTTTGTAGCCATGTACAAGACCTGAGTTCACTAAGAAGAAGTTTATTGAGAAATAAACACCCCCAAAAAAGTTGCCATTGATTAACTTCTGCTTAGAGATTGACAGAATGTACAGTTGTGTGTAAAAGAAGAAAAATTAGAATTAATAATAGAGTAGTTCACTCTGTGACAACCTATGGTCACCTAGAAGGGTTTTTTAAAATTTTCATAGATTTAATAACTGAATAACATTTCCTTAATTTATTTTATTTTATTTTACTTTGGAAAACTGCACAGCAGGACAATTATTTGCATGAAGTCTCCTGGTAATTTCTTTTTGGCACATTTACTCAGTGACAGGAAAAAAAGAAAAAGTAATAAAGCAACGTTTCTTGCATGTTGTTGCTCTTCTCACTTTCCCAGAGAGGGTCTGATGCTGCAGGGGATTGAGAGCAATGAGAACGGCAAGGGCTGGCCTTGGGCAGGTTCTAATTGCAGCACTTTCTGTCCCTGCAGGTGATGCAATCACATACGCTGAGGTGAAGGTGAAATGGAGATCTGACAGACCTGACAGCACACCCGAAATGACACATTCAGGTACTGCAGCACTGCAGGACACTTCACCTTTTCTCTCTGTATTTCATCCTCTCTGTATACATCATAATCACATAGTTACACACAGTGGAGGAGCTGGTTAGGGCTAAGTGCCCAGAGAGGTGTTGATGTCAGGGAGAAATTGTTCCCTGGGAGGGTGGGCAGGCCCTGGCACAGGTTGCCCAGAGAAGCTGTGGATGTTCCATCCCTGGCACTGTCCGAGGCCAGGTTGGATGGGGCTCTGAGCAACCTGGGACAGTGGAAGGTGTCCCTACCCATGGCAGGGGCTTGGAATGAGATGATCTTTGTGATCCCTTCCAACACAAACCATTCTGCACTTACAACAAAGCTGAGCTACTTTTACAAAGTGATGGCCAGGAAGCAAAAATTCTGGACAGTGTTTTGACAAGTGTCAGAAAAATTGTGTCTATCACTTCTTCAGTTAAAATGTTAAGATACATTAAACTTTCTCAAACTGTGTAAGTAAATTTTGTTCTGCAAAGTGAAATCGTGTCGTGGACATGAGTTTTAACTCTTGTGTGTGAGGTGAAAATGAAGTAGAGAATGAAAGAAAATACTGCATTCCTGCCATGCAATAAGAGCACTGAAGATATTTATAGAGAAAAGTGGTAGCTGTGGCAAATGCTAGTGTGAACAGGTATTTCCACTGGGGTTTTCATTTGGCCTTACAACAAGGAAAAGAAACTGAAAGCTTCAGATGGTCTTTCTGACTAAAAGTGGTGGTTGGGCCGATGAGAGAGTGGGACAAGTGGAGATCTCAGTCTGGCTGTTACAAAGGCAAAACCAATTTACTGCTTTCATTGAAATGCCCTATGATTTCATCCCAGTGAATCCAGGGTGGGAATGCAGCATGAAAAGTGTGGTCAGTAATACAGTTTTAATATATGGCCATTGACCCATCTGGTTTTTGGCTGCCTTTTTTTAGCCCTCAATCCTCGCTTCCTCCCTCTGATTCTGTCTACACTGTACAGGTTTTCAGAATTTTGTTCAAAGAGTATCAATATATGCTGTAAATATGGATAACTGCTATAGAAGAGCTCTGTCCCTTCACATTCTTCACTGCAACCTGTTTAAAACCACAGAAGTCAGATGTATGTTCTAATTCTCCTTTAGATTGGTGGGTGGTTTACATGGAAAGTATGAAGGAATGGGGATCTAATGAACACAATGATCCTAGTCAGGATTACAGTTGGAGCAGAAAATGAGGGAGGGATTTAAAGACTATAGAAACAAATATTTCTTTGTTGTGCTTTAAAATTATGGTAATCTGGAAAGAGTCTCTAGAATTGCAAATTACTTATGACACCTTTTTTTCAAAGCCTGAATGTGAACTTCAGGATTTTCCTGTGGGTCTTCAGTTTTGTAACCTTAGGAAAATAACACAACCATTGCAAGGCATTTTCCAAGGCAAAGGCAGGGTATATTCCAGAGTGGGAAGCACTGGCAGCACTGTGTGCACACAGCAAAATGTTGACATAGCGGGGTTGGTAAAACTGTGCTCTGCCACAGAAGGTAAGAGGTCATGTTTTCAGGTGTTTTCTCAACAGCTATGATGATTAAAAATTAGGACTTGCCAGGAAAAGGGCTCTTCTGCCCCTGAAAATGTGATTTGATGTATTCACACAGATACATGGGGGTTTGTGTCCATATAAACCTACACACACATACAGGTGTTAGATCCATAGCACCCAGTGTGACACACTCCTGCTGAAGGCCTGGGTGCAGTGATTTTGCATCCTCCCATACCTCAGAACAAAAGCTGACTTGCTTTGTGCCCATAGTGAGACCCCTGTCCCTTGTCCCTTCGGCAGTGACCTGCTTGGAGAAGTCGCACTGGTGTTTCGTTGTTTCTGCCCTGGTCTTCACTGCAGTGGTTCTGCTCATCACTGTCATCCTCCTGGCAGTGAAATGTCCCAGCCTCTGAGGGGGATGCTGACATCCTGCTGACACACACGGGGTAAGCCATTTTTAACCATGTCCTGTTTTCATACCACACACTTGCATTTATCAGAGGAGGTGCACAGAAGCCCCCAAACCAAATGTTCAGAGCATGATAGAATATGCTGAGTCGAAAGGGACACACAGTGATCATCGAGTCCAACTCCTGGCCCTGCAGAGGACCATCCCCAACAACCCCACCATGTGCCCAAGAGCATCATCCCGATGCTCCTGGAGCTCTGCCATCCCTGGTGCTGTGCCCACTGCCCTGGGGAGCCTGTTCAGTGCCCAACCTCCCTCGGGGAAAGAACCTTTTTCTAACATCCAACCTAAACCTGCCCTGACACAACTTCAGGCAATTCCCTCAGGTCCTATCACTGGTCCCCACACAAAGGAGATCAGTGCCTGCCCCTGCTCTTTCCTCACAAGGAAGTGCAGTTTGGGATTTGAAGGCAATCAGGACAACAGTTGTTTCTGTCACTGTCACCTGCAAGTACCTGCTATCACTGTTATGTAGCTTATTTTGTATGGTCACCAGAAATACTCTCTTCCTGCAACTACAGGTGTAGGCAGAAAATAACTGGCTGTTCCACTCCCTGGTTATCTGCTGTGTGACAGACCATCTCCTTCCTTGGTCCCTGAACACCCCAGCCAAGAAGGATCTTCTAAGCCCTCCACTTTTCCTGTCTTTGCCTTTCACTGCATCCCATTTCATACACTCTCTAGCAGCTACAAAACCTGACAGAGAAAAGGTGGGTCAGTGAGTTAACATTTATCTGCTTTTCCTTCTGCAGGTCTCAGAACTCTTCCTGGGTGTGAACCACTTTCTAAGACGATCATTTAAAATGACCCAAATAAATAGTAGCTAAATGTGGAATGAAACCCTCTTTTTTGTAGGCATGAAATTCCACTTGCCCTCAGCATTCCTTGCTATTCTTTAAGTTTTATGACCAGAGCATGAACCAAGTGTTGATTGCCTTAACACATCACCACAACCTGCATTAGGTAATGAGCATAAGCAGAAGCTGAGAGCAGAGTGTAGTGTACTTAAATATCCATTTGTACAGAGACTGTAAGACTGGGAAGAGATGTGGAATTCTTACTTTAATATCAGCATGCATGAGTTAGTTGAAACATTTGGATTTGTATTACAACTTTTTCTGTTGAACATAATAATTATTCTGATCTTGTTCCAAGAGGCTTTACGATTTCAGATTTATGACCTGAACATGCTGCTTTTTAAAGCAATTGAAACCTGGAGTCTTTTTCTTCTGCTGGTTTGGCAGTGCTCCATGTGTCCCTGGGGGAGAACTTCAATGCTATGAAGCAGAGGGAATGATGGTTTCAACTAAAATTACTACAGAGTGCTTGGACCCTGCTTGTTGAGTTCAGGAGTAGACACAGGTCTAGCCATAAGCATAAGAGTGTGCCTTATCACCTTGCCTCGGGGGAGACAGGGCTGATTCACATTCCCACGTCCCATAATCTGGGATCTGGACTAGGTAAATGGATTGAGATCAACGGTATGAGGTCCGGTGAGGAGCTCCTCAGGGAGCTGGGAGCACTCAGCCTGGAGAAAAGGAGGCTCAGGGGGAACTTCTCGCTCTCTCCCAGTCCCTGACAGGAGGTTGCTGCCGGGTGGGGGTCGGGCTCTGCTCCCAGGGAACGAGTGACACGATGAGAGGACAAAGTCTTAATCTTCACCAGAGGAGGTTGAGGTTGGACCCTGGGAAGAATTCCTTCTCCGAAGATGTGATCAGCCATCGGAAGGGGCTGCCCAGGGCGGTGGTGGAGCCACCGTCCACGGAGGTGCTGAAGGAGAGCCCAGACGCGGCACGCAGTGCGGGTCCAACTGAGGCGGCGGGGATCGGTCACGGGCCGCACTCGGCTGTCCCCACAGGTCTTTGCCAACCTGATCGATTCTGTGAACGGAGCGGGTGGTCGCTCCTGGGGGTTTTTTCCCCACTCACCCGTCCCCGTGGGCCGCCTCTCCCCCGTGCCGGTCTCCGCGGCAACCCCGCGGCCGCGGCTGCGGGCGGGGCAGCGCCGCCCCCTGCTCGCCAGGGCCGCCCCCTGCTCGCCAGGGCCGCCCCCTGCTCGCCAGGGCCGCCCCCTGCTCGCCAGGGCCGCCCCCTGCTCGCCAGGGCCGCCCCGCACCGCGGCGGGCGGAGCGTCCCGGCAGCGCCGGCCGATCGCGCGTCCCGCGGGCCGCTTCTCGCCCGCCGTCCCTGCCCGCCGCCCGGCCGCGCTCCCGCTTCGCCATGTGCGAGCCCAGCAAGCAGGACATCGCCGCCATCTTCAAGCGACTGCGCTCCGTGCCCACCAACAAGGTAATGCTGCCGGGCGGGGCGGGCCGCGCCGGGCTCCGCCGCGCTGACACGTCGCACTGCCGCGGGGCGGGGGCGGCGCTGCCCGGAGCCGGCACTGCCCGGCACCGCCGCCCGGCCCCGGCACTGCCCGCAACCCGCACTGCTACCCGGCCCCGGCACTGCCCGCTCTGCCGCCCGGCCCCGGCACTGCCTGCAGCCCGCCTGCCGCCCGGCCCCGGCACTGCCGCCCGGCCCCGGCACTGCCGCCCGGCCCCGGCACTGCCGCGGCTCCGGCCGCCCGGCCCAGCTGCCGCCCGGCCCCGGCACTGCCCGCTCCGCCGCCCGGCCCCGGCACTGCCCGCTCTGCCGCCCGGCCCCGGCACTGTGGCTGGGGGGTTCCCTGCGAGAGGGGGGAGAGGCCCGGCAGGTCGCCGGGAGCGGGGGACCCCTTCCCTAGGCGCCCTCCCTCTCCTTGGGCAGCGAGATGCAGCGCCCGCCGGGTGCCTCCTGCTCTCTGCGAGCGTCAGCTCGGCTGCCCTTAAATCCCCGTTCCGAACCAGCGGCAAGGCAGTGATGAGACTGTGTTTCTTTTCTTTTTTTTTCGCCTTCCCCCCCTCCTTTTTTTTTTTTTTCTCTTTGTCGTTTAATCAGCCCCGTTGCGGCACAGCCACTTCTGCGGTGATAAAAAAAAGTTTGTTGTTCTCTCGCCGTGTCCCGTGCTGAGCTGGGTTTTTTCCGGTGTTGCGAGGCTGTTCCATCAGGAGGTGTGAGCTGGGAAAGGTCCCTCTCAAGGTGTTGGGTGCCTTCAGCACCTCTGTGCTCTGCGCTGCTTGTTGTGTTGGCCCTGTGACGTGCACTGTGAGCTTAGGTAGAAAATGCATCAGGAGAAACACCTTGGGTTTGTTTTCTGGGAACAGGCACCTGGACGTCTGTCTGTTCCAAAACCACGCTTTGGACACGAATCGGGTGTAAGTGACAGGCACGTGTCTGGTTTCTCAGAGCTTGGAGGTGAACGCTCAGTCAGTTTCTAACACAAGGATTGTTAAAACTTGCCTTTGCAGTGCGGTAAAAAGGATATCATGGAAAGGTCCTGGTGCCATCAAGGAAGGTGAGAGAGAAGATCTTTTATGAGCTCCTGAAATTCACTGGCACTGTGCCTATAAAAGTGGAGTAGTTCTGTGTGGCTGTTGTGATGCTTTTTCTCTGCTGGGATCACCGGAGAGTTGGAAAGCGCTGTTCCTGCCCGGCAAGGATGGAGCGGCTCGAGCAGCTCCCCTGTGCTGCACTCCGTGTTACCGTGCTGGATTTAATCAGGTGGATGTGGGGTTGCTCACGCGGATCTGTCGCTCCTGTGCAGTCACGTCAGAAGCTACACAGAAATAATGTAGTGCCAGTGTTGACAAAGCAGTACTGGCACAATGTGTGCTGCCACTCATGCTGGGCCAGCGGGAGAGAAGTAGCTCAGGCACAGAAAACTTGTAACGCTGCAGTGCTTGTTGACCTGTGAAGTCAGAGAGCTGGAAACTTCAACAGCTTAGACCTCACAACGCTCCCGTGCCCATCCATCTGGTCATTCTCTTGAAGTAAAAGTTGTTTATACAATCAGTTTATCCTCTTGTGTTCGATTACATCTTGTTTTGTTTCCTTTCTTTTGTGTTCTCCTTAAGCAGTCTTCCCCTTTGATTTGCAGGGCTTGTCTGCTGGGGAAGAAGCACGTGAGAAAGTGCAAATATTGACACAGTTCCGTATTAAAAGCTCAGTACTTTGCTTTGACTGTAGTTTATGTATGGAGTTTAGGAAGAATCAGTGTGCCTTCTTTGCAGCATCTGAGCTTTCTGACTGCCTAGTCTAGGTAGATGTGCATCTACACTTTGCTGGGGGCTCTTAGTCTAAGTGAGCTTAGGAAAAGGATTCTCAGATAAATGTGTGGTTTAATTTCTGAACTGCAGCGTGTTGAAACTGATACTTGAATAATTGCCTTGAAATAAACATTTGTAATCTGATACTGATTTGTTTTACTACCAGGAATAACTTTTTGAGTTCTTGGTGTGCCTTTGGTTGTTACATAGTACAGAGCTGCCTGGTGACATCCAGCTGGTGATCAGCTGCCTGATGACTTAAGGAGCATGTTACAGTTACTAAGTAGGACGTATTTTGTACCCATAAAAACGTTCATAGTCCTTAAGCTCCCTGATACTCTTGACTTGAGTGTTTGAGCTTTACAGCTCGCCTGTTTTGAAGGCTTGCACGCTCAGGCTTTAGTTTGGCATAGATCTATTCCTCTGAAACTCAGTTTTTCATTCCCTTCTCCCTGGTTCTTTTCTTTGCTTGATGATGGTGTTCATGTCTGTGCTTGGACTCCCAGATCAAGGATCTGAACTGAAAACTAAGTGTGTGTGTTGTGCTGGTGGTTTATCAGCTGCTGAGTTTGTTATTGCAGTGTGTGTTGTGGGTGGGTTGGGTTTTGCCCCAGAGTACACTGGAGTTTATCTTGTCTCCCTTAAGTCATTTTCAGATCATGGCACTTCCAAAATGGGCAGTCCTGTCTGCCTCTCATGGCAAGCACTCCTGATCTCTCCTTTATACTCTCTTATATTGGCATTCCTGGTCATGTGGCTGTGATGTGAGTTGGACCTACCTTTGCTCCAAGTCCATATGTCTGGGCAAAGCTGGTTCCCAGTGGGATCAGCAGGTGTGATTACTATTGCTGAGTCAGGAAAAGAAGGAAAACACGTCTGGGTATGCTGGCTGGTAACTAAGAGAGTAGCTTATCCATACCCAGTAACAATATATTACATATTTGTTTATTAATACAAGGATCTTGTGCCAGGTGGATGTTTTGTGATTTAGTGACTCCTGCTGTGGATTATACCCAGATCTCTGTGTCTGCTCTTGTACAAACATCTCAGTTATGTTTTTGGCTCTTTTATCCCAATGTGACTCTCACTGAATCTACATATCATTAAATGCTTTAACATAAAATAAGCAAAAAGAATGCGTGTTTTAAAAGCAGTGGATTATTTAAGCATATCCTTCAGATTGATTTTATCTTTATTTTGATATTCTAGTTGTACCTAAATCAGTACAGAAAATACACTTTATTTACTTTTAAAATGAAAACAATTTCTTAGGGCAGCTCTGAAATTGATTTCAAGTTTTTTTCCCCCAATTCTTGTTAAAATTTACATGGTAGGAAGCACTTCTAGAACTGAGAAAACTAAACAAAATGAGTCTAAATGTTAATGAAACATCTATTTCTATGGCATAACGTGACGGAAATGACAATTTATGCATTACTGTCATGATAAAATGAGATGTCCCTGCTTGCATCCCAGTCCTACAAGCTACTTTTTTATGCATGTGAATAATTCCCACAGGTTGACAGGGAGTCCTGTCAGATCCTGAGCTGGGCTGCTTTGTGGCAGCCAACTGCCAAGGTGATGCAATTGCCTTTGAGATGTTGAAATTATGAAGTGCTTGTAATTGTACCAGGGAAAGGAAGAGAATCTTCAGGGATGTTTAGAACCAAACTTCTTAAACCACAGGTGTTTTTTTAAGCCACCCACCCAAGAGTCTCGTTTCCCATTTGTGCTCCAGGGAATTCCCTGGCTCTGAGTCTGCTTTACTCTATAAGAAGTGAGACCAGGGCTCTTCTGTTAACTTTGGTTTCAAACAGAATCTTCTCCTTTTTTTGTTGTCCCCATCCTCCTTTTGGTCTTGTAAGAAAAGGCCTAAAAATAGCCAATTTAAAATGAAGATGAGGTACTTCTTGTTTTTTAAGGAAATATTTCAAATAAAGCAGAGAATTGGGAAAAGAGAATGAGTTCTGACTACTTAGGTGTGTGTTGTCTTAGAATATGGCATGTGTGAAGTCTTATTCTTCTTTTTCCCTGACTCTGTGTATCATTCTTCCACCTGAACTTGTTTCAGGGAGTCCCTCTAACCTCTCCTTTTGTCACACATTCTGTGTAGACTTTTATCTTATTTCTTTCTGCTCTGTTTCAGTGAATGATCCATTTCCATGTACATGGGATATGGAAATTACTTACATTATTATTTATTAAAATTTAATTTATTATAATTTATTAAAATCAATAAATAT